TAGGTAAGAGATTTATATTTTTATTAAAAAGTCTAGTTGTTGCACTGTTATTTTTCTCAATATAGACTATTCATAAAAAAATTATTCGTTAGTTAACTAGAAATATTGGCATATACATTAATGACTTTTTTTTTCCTATCCCGTCATTTGATTTTGATTCTCCAATATCTTCTTCACCATCTCATGAAGATCAAAAACCTTGTATTCCATGGAAGATATTCGATCCTCCACCGTTGCTTTCATTTGGCTCATTTCTCCTTCAAGGCGTTATTCCAGCACATTCACTTTCTTGGCCTCCATCAATCCCTTGGCCTCCATCAATCCCTGTATTTTTGTAGACTCAAAAATCTGGATCTTGAACCCAAAAATAGCAAACAACCCCTCCTGCGGCAAAAAATAAGCATCTGGTTTTCACAAAAATTGCTCAAAAACAGTCCCAAAATATGCGCTAATACCAATTTGATAGGAAACGATAGGAAAACAGGAATTTAATCTTGAAATCAGAATTTTAGCAGTTTGATCGAGCAGAATTTAGTGTTTTTATGGAATAAAAATGCAAAAAAAAAAAAAAAAAAACTCTTGATTGCTAGAGAAAGAAAGAAAATAGCAAGGTACAAATGATCCTCTATTCGAGAGGAGGACCAATATTTCCAAAACTCTCTAGACACCGCTAGAGCCCAAGAACACCAAAGCACTCAGAAAATTAGCCGCAAAAAGATACCCTAACCCTAGTACAACTCCTACTTAAAGAAAATACAAAACTAACACCAAATAACTAAACAAACCTCAAGCAATTTGCATTAATTTGAAAAAAAGGAAAGTGGCTTAACAGCCTGCGAACCAGCAAGCTGACGCCTGCTGTAATGCAGGAGCTGACCCATTCTTTGGGCCGGCTGGACCGGTCCTGGACCTGTCTGATTGTATCATAAAAATGCTATTCTGTGTGGAAAATATTAATATTCTTCTTCTCCACAGTGACGCCCGCTGTGCTTCCCGAGTGCTCCCAGGAGCTCGAGTCGAGCTCTTGAGCTGGCGAGTTAAAGGATGAGTCGACTTCGAGTTCATTTTTTTGGTTCAATTCGAGTTCGAGTTCGAGCCAGCTTTCTGATTGACAACACCACTACTCGACTCGACCAGACTTGTTTACACCCCTAACTCAGCCTTCTTTGCAAATTGGATAAAAGTGCCATAGACTTACAAAACCTGTCCACAAAATTTTAGAATCAAAGAAGAAAATGGACCTATTAGCGTAGGGGCTATATCCTTTGAGACTTGCATGCTTTAGCTTCAACATATATTTTCCCCAATTAATTGAAGTCCTTGTGTCTTCAATTCTCACCTGTCAAGTCTTTCACCTTAGAAACATGAGTATTATCTTCAAAATGGTTACAAACACGAACTTTGATTTGTGTTGGACAAACATATTTTTTTATGGCTTGACTACTTGAATGGAGATTGAGTGAGGTCAGGGTTATCTCTTGAATTGAATAGTGTAATGCATCTATCTAGATCTTAGGAGATTAGGCATTCATATAATTTAGAATATTAGCAAGGATGGAGGTAATTGAATTTTCATTTTGAGTAGCTATGCAAATGATTAATCTTTTGTTTATTTGATGCTGCTAGTGAAAAGGTAGAAGAAGGTCAGGTAGAAGGAGCCACTGTATAATTTTTTTTAGATGAAGTTTTGAAAGTGTATTGATACCCTAATGCCTTAGAAACATGAATACTCTGAATTTTTTTCACGGTGTGTAATATTCTATAGGCTTTAAGGATCTCTAATAGAATGACTAGTGCCTTGCTAGTTTATATTTTTAGAGTAATGGAAATTTAAGGTGCGGATCTATTAGTTTTCAAAAATATTTGAGTTGTATTGTTGAACTGAGTGAGCTCTTACTATATTTTTTCTACGTTACATAAATGTTGACTGCGTATTTATTTGGTTGCCTACCCTTTCTATACAGGTCCTTCTGGTTTTCTCTATTCTTGTTGGAACCAGCACATGGGTTGATCTTTTGGTACGTTGGCTGCCTTTCTTAGTTATGAAAATGTTAAATAGAAATAATTTGCCTATTCTGCATTTGCTGATAGAATGATCAATATAATAAACTATCAATGTGAAGGAACTTCTTTGTTATGTGTACTAAATCCTTTGCTCTATCTTGATTTTTCATGTAAACTCAAAGTTATTTTCAGATCCAGTTAATTGCTGATAGGTAGCTGATTGTCTGCCTGCCCCTGATGGCAATATTGAAATTGATTTTGGTTTCCTTGTTGCCCACTTACCTTGCATTGAAATTAAGGGTATATTCCGTTGGTAGAAATCCGTAGGAATTCCTTTCTTGATGATGATGAGGAATGTATATCAGAAAACTAAAATGAGAAAATGAGCAAACTCTAGCTTTCTAATCTGTATTGCTTTAACTTCGAGAGAGCAGCGAAGCGATTCTAAAACAATGAAAGAAAAGAAATAAAAACCAGATAATGGTGTGTTCTCTTTATGTGGTTGTATTTCCAAAAGTTTTACTACACGAATTACTATGTTATTCCGTTGAAATTCTTCTTTGACTTTTTTTAGCTCTTTATCTGGACTCTGGAGCCTTTTAAAATAACAATGTGCAGCAAACACCAAGCCAAAATTAATTATTATGAAAAAGATACAAAAATAAATAATTGATTTTTTGCTGGATGAATATGTCGGAAATTTGTCTATAGACCCCGCAGTCTTATACTCATAAATGCAAAGTCTTTAAGCACCGATTATTGGAGGGACTAAACAGCTAAGTTGGACAAACAAATTCAGAAACTGCAACAATACTCTAGAAAATAATACTAGCAAAACAGATAATTAAATAGCTGAGTACGAGGAAAAATATTAGAAAGTGCCAATTAATGCCCTTCGGGACAGTTTTGCAAATCGGAATATGACCAGTAAATCTGACTTTGTAGCTGCGCGTATTACTTAATATGAGTTGAAAACCTGTTTTATTTTAAAACAGGTATCTAACCAAGTTTTCAGCACACAAGGCGGCGTAACTGCAGTTTTGTTTTCCTTCTAAGAGCTTATTTAGTTGTTTGAATATAGAAAACACATTTTTAAAAGCAATGATTAAGCCCATACCTTTTCGCTCTAGTCATGGATGTTCCTACTAGACATTTGCAAGAGGAGTTACTTTGGTGTATGTTTTTTGTTGATGAAATTCTTCTTGTTGATAAGACTGGAGATGGAGTTCAAGATAAATTTGAATTATGGAGGTCAACTTTAGAGTCTAAAATTTTTCGTTTGAGTAGATCTAAAGCCGAATATATAGAGTGATTTTAATAGTAATAGATCTAGTGGGGTGATTGTGACTTTGGGCGATCAAGTCATTAATAAGATAACACATTTTAGATATCTTGGGTCTATTGTTCATAGTGATGGTGAAATAAATGAGGATGTTATTAGTAGAGTTTAAGTTGGATAGTTGAAGTGGAGGAATGCATCAGTCATGTTGTGTGATAGAAAAGTACCCTCAAACTTAAGGGAAAATTATATAAGATGGTGGTGAGACCTGCAATGCTTTATGGTGTGGAATATTGGCTATTAAAAGAGAACCATAAAATTAAGTTAAATGTTGTAGAAATAAGGTTGCTCAGGTGGATGAGTTCCTTCACTAGTAGAGGCAAAATGCGGAAGGAGTATATACATGAAATGGTTGGCTCAGCTCCGACGGCATATAATATTAGAGAGAGAGACAGAGAGTCGCCTTAGATGGTTTGGTCACATAAAATGTCTTCCTTTTAATGACTCGGTTAGGAGAGTAGACATATTAGCCTATGTTAAGAAAGATAAAGGCAGATTTAAAAAGATTTGGTTAGAAAATATTAGAAATAACTTTTTTTATTAGATTTAAATGAGAATTTGACTCTTAACAAGATAAAATGGAGATAAAAGATTCATGAAGCTGACCCTAGGTAGTAGATAAAGATTTGATGTTGTTGTTGTTGTCATTTAGTTAAATGTAAGGAGGTATTAATATTTTTTAGTGTTACAAACACTTTGATATTAAGTAGATGCAGAAATTGAAAAAATACCTTGCTAAAAGTCTGATATCAACCAATCCAGAAATTGGCAGGAGGCAAAATCTAAAGTAGAACTCGCACAAACACTTATAGATTGAAATTATTTTGAAAAAAAGACAAGATACAATTGGAGAGGAAGATCCGGCTCTCCACAAACCCTAGACACTGTTAGAGCTCTCACAATCTAAACCAAATTCCCCTTTTAGCAAATACAAGCATGCCCTAAAAATTGAACCCTAGGAGAAACTATATTTAGCATACAATTACCAAATCCCAAAATTGCCCCTTGCCTTTTCCCTTTAGACCACCCCTCCCTGTTCAAATTTATGCTGTGGGCTCCACTCTAAAGGGGATGAGATTTGCCCCTCTCTTATGTTCATTGTCTTCTTGGCTTCCATCGGGTTTAAACCCTGGCCAGTCCAGGATGGATCGGCCGAATGATTGGTCCAGTGAGGATCAGTTCAACAATACCCCCTCCCAAAGACTCGCCTTGTCCTCAAGGTGAAAAGATGGCAACTGCTACTTTATCCTCTCATAATGCTCCCAAGTGGGGTCGTATTCGCGTATGTTCTTCTATTGAATGATTGACTCAACACTTACTTGATCCCTCCCTTTCCCCTTCGTGCCCCTTTTAGCTCCAATGATTTCAACACCACCTCCAAATCCTTAGTCAGTGTCACTGGTAACTCTAGACTTGATGTATAATCACTGATAGCTCTCCTCAACTATGACACGTGGAACACCAGATATACAGTTGTGGTCGGGGGAAACTTCAATCTGTAAGTCACTGCTCCAACTTCTTCAGTATCTCATAGGGGCCAAAGTACCTTGAGACCACCTCCTCGTTTCTCCCTATTAGCTATCATCCTTTTTCTATAAGGACGAAGCTTCAAGTATACCCTATCACCTAGCTCAAATTGCATGTCTTTCTTGTGCCCATTAGCCTGCTTCTTCATGATCTGGTGAGCCCTCAACATATGCTTTTTTAACTATGCCAATACCCTATCCCTCTCCTCAAAGTACTGTTCAACTGATGAGACTGGCGTGCTACTCTGCCCAAAATGCATCAAGTGAGGTGAGTCCCTCCGGTACTTCACTTTGAAAGGAGTCATTCTTGAAGCCTAATGATAGGGAGTGTTGTATTAGTAATCTGCCCATGCCAGCCACTTAGTCTATAGTCGAGGTGTCTCCAAAACAAAATAACTCATAGTAACCCTCATGTGTCCTGAATGATATCTTTGGGGCATCCTCCCCTCTTATCCTGATCTGATAGTACCCGAATTTCAGATCCATTTTTGTGAGCACCATAGCTCCATATAGCTCGTTTAGTAACTCATCAATCACTGGAATAGAAAACTTATAAGGCACTGTCTCTTTAATCAGGGCCCTATAGTCCACACAAGTTATCCAGCTTCTATCCTTCTTGACCAGCAAGGCTGGGCTAGAAAAAGGACTCACGCTCAGTCTGATGATCCCGACCTCCAACATGTCTTAAATCAGTATCTTAATCTCATCCTTCTTGATCTAGGGATATCGGTAGGGTCTAACACTAATCAGTGGCACCCCTTCTCTTAAGATGATGGCGTGCTCCTGCTTCCTTAGTGGTGACAATCCTTGAGGTGGCTGAAAGTTCTCACTAATATGATGTATCAATGGCTGTATTGATAAGGGGATGTCCCCTGCTCCAACCTGATCCCCTCCAAGTGCTGCAACTTCACCAGAAATACTCCCCCTCTTATATGATTCTCACCATAGCTTTGGATAGCCCTGCATCTCTCCTGATCACCACTATCCTTCTCTCCACCATCGACATTGCTCCCCAGTTCATCTCCCGAGGTCTACAGTCATTTCATCCAGGATGATATCAGTGCTGCCTAACTCCAATGGAAGGAAGTAATCCCTCACTTGGACCCCCTATAAGGTTAGAACCCCCCCCCCCCCCCCCCCCCCCCCCACACCCCCCCCACCCCCCCCCCACACACACACACACACACACACCCACCCACCACAAATAAACACTCTTATGCATGTATCTACCTTTATGGTACCCATCATCACCTCCAATTGGTCCACGATTTGGTTAGAGAGGAAATTGTGGGTAGCCGAACTTTCTATCAATACCACAATTTCCTTGCCTGCTATCTCACTTTTGATCTTCATAGTGTGATTTCGAGTGAATCCCAGAATGGAGTTTAGGGATTCCTCTACCATTTCTAAGTAGAAATGGGTTGTTTCCTCCACAACCTCCTCCAACTTGTCCCTGCTCTCCTCTTCTCCCTCGCAGACAATCAAGACCTGAAGGGATTGATCCTTGCACCTATATCTCGGTGTAACACACTTGAAGCATAATCATTTTGCCCACCTCTTTTGCACCTCCGCATCTCTGAGACCGCTGAAATTTCTCCCATAATGGACTCCAGTGTCCCTCCCCTTCAGTGCTTCCCTCTGGAATGACGTAGTCTGGGTCCTCAATGCCAAAGTGGTAGGGTTCTCCAGTATGCTCCTCCCATTATTTTGCTCCGACTGGCTTTCTTCCTTTTATGTTTTTCTTCTATTCTCTGAGCTAGCTCCATCATCTCCTTCAGCCCTCGAGGCCTCAACACCTGAGCTCTGCTAGGATATCTCCCCTAAGGTCCTTCATAATAGTTCGAACTTCTCTATTTATTCCATGATTGTCTTCTCCTGAGTTAAAGCATAGAACTGCTCGTGGAGGTCTCCTTCATTAATTGCTCATAAACATTTCAACAAATAATCCTTAAATCCCTCCCATGATAGATCAGATACCTAGCCTCTCTCACTGATTTGGACCCCATGGTTTGACCCAACCACTGCCTCCTTCGGTCCCCCTCCCACCATGCCTGGGTGGTCTCTCAAAGGGTTCGGCCTCCCCCTTTCCCGTTTTCTTTTCATCTGTAACCCCAATCCACCTATATTTAGAGCCCCCCCCCCCCCCCCCCCCCCCCTCAGCCCCCCCCCCCCCCCCCCTCCGTGGTCCTTGAGGTTGCTTTCGACTACATCTTAAGCATCTTTTTCATCATATCTTCAAAGTTTCCAAAACGATTCTCGATGACCGAGAGTCTTCTCTCTACCCCGGAATGCTTTTCTTCAACTCTGGCCTTGAGTTGTTCCATCTTGCCTTCCAACACATCCATCTTCTTTGCTGACATTAACTTGGATCTAGGCTCCAACAACAAAAATCAGTGAAGACGACAAATCTTTCCGCCCAAGGTGCTGTGATACCAATTTGATAGGAAGTAAATGCATAAATTGAATAAACACTTTGCCAGAAATCTGATTTCAGTGAATCCATAAATTGGCAAGAAGCAAAATCTGAAGTAGAACTCACAGATTCAGACGAACGAGCCATGGAACATCTCTGTTTGTATGGTAAATGTGTGAACCACTACAGCCCTGTGAAGAAGCAGTAAGCACAGCTCCTAAGAAATGATCAGCTAGTGTAGTACTAAACTAAATATTGATAATTTTCTATTCTAGTGGAGGTGTTTTGATCTGATTTATATGCTTTGTTCCAGGGGGTGATAGCAGGCCATGCTTATTATTACCTCGAAGATGTTTATCCCCGAATGACAGGTCGGCGACCCCTCAAGACTCCCAGTTTCATCAAAGCTTTGTTTGCAGATGATAATGTTGTTGTAGCCCGGCCAGGAAATGCCCAATTTGCTGCCCCTCCCCTGCAGGAACCCCATCAAGATTAATCATATTTTCACGGTTGTTTATAGTTCCAAGCTTTTATAATATATTATTGCTATTCCAAGTCAGTTATATTTATCTGGAGGCATATATTTTCTCTGATGTTGGCCACTGATTTCTCTTAATGTGGGGTTGGTTTGGTCCATGAATAGATGGTTTATGAGGTTTGATTGGTTTTAGTCTTCTGTATATAATGTCACAAATTCCTTTTTTTTTTGGGTCCTTAAGAACTGAATTCTGGGTATTCTATGTGTAAATGCTCATTCTAATAACAACAAACTGACTTCTTTCGAGTTGTTTTTGGAATTAGGAAGCTGCTTGATTGAGTATAGCATTAAGAAATAATGTAAAGTTTTGAATATTTGAAGTATTTTATGCTCAGAATTGTATCATAGTTGATAAAATTATGTTTAATTGAAGAGATTATTCTGTTCAGACACCGAACGGTTTGAAAATCAACTAAAACGCATCATGTCATCCGGTACCGAGCAAAAAAAAGCGAGGTGACGTGTTTTGATTGGTTTCCGAATGCTGTTTGGGGTCTGCACAGAATAAATTTTCGTTTAATTGAGGGAACACATCACTTGCTTAAGCCTCTTATTAGATACTAGCTATTGCTATTCTTAAAGAAAAAAGGTCGTGGAAGGGCCAGCGCTCCTTATTAAGATGGATGGCAATAGTGTAAATGCCTACACATCTACTTTGATATCAATATTTAGTATAAATTATTAAAGAATGAAGTTAAACTAACTCTAAATTATTAGGATAATAATATCAATGATTTATTGATATGATGACTGTTGTTTTTTAGGTTTTATTTGGGATGATTTTTTTTTTAAATAGAGTTTTATTTAAAAAATTAAAATTTTATATTAAAATTTTCTTTTAAAAAATAATAAAAAATTTGTTTCAAATGAAGCCTTAGTAGGCTTTTCATTGTGTAGAAAGATATGTTGTACCAGTTGATGAAGATAGAACTGAGTTTTAAGGAAAACAAAGTCCATGGAGGTAGGAATTGGGAGAGATTCTGACTGGTTATTTTTCCTTTAAAATAAAAAAGCTTCCTTTTTTACACCAAATCACATACAGATGCTTTATCATTGTGCACTTTGGTTTAAAATTACTTTGCAGTCAAAAAAACACACGAGAAGTTTCAATGGTGACAATCCTCGAATTTATCCGTTGAGTTATTTTTATACAAGTTTTTTATTTTGAATATGACAAGGGTTTGAGATCTGTTTGGGACAATCTTTTTATTATTTTCAAAAACAAATTTCTATTATAAAAATTTTTTAATTAAAAATTTTTGTAAAAAAAAAAATTGTGGTGAAAGTTACTTTAAAAATAATGAAAATGTGGAATCTAGAATCTAACAAAATAAAAGCAAAATTTTACAAACTAAAAATTTTATAAAGGTATAACCCAACAACTCAACTTCCACCAAAAGGTCTAGGATAGGCTCAAATAGAGGAGAAATTATTCTGTGCGGAGTCTTGACGGAAAGAATCATCCGATCTGTGAGTATAAACAATGTGTATACTAATTTGATATATACTATGTACAAACATGTACACAGTACATACACTCATATGGCCGGACAGTTCTTCCAATCTGAACTCTGCACAGAATAATACAGGGGCATTCAAGAGCAAAAATTCAAAAGCCATCCGGCTGCAACGGTCATGTAAAATCTAATGATTCTTGAGAAAGGCAGGCAAAAATTTTTCTTATTGCCCAAAGCTCAACAAAAGCTTCCCAATACCAATCCATAGACCAAAAGATTAGAGCCCAACATCACAAAATGAAACTTCCATGCATAAGCAGAATACAGCGAATACATAATAGAGCCACCCTCAAGAATTCGATAGGTGAGCCCAAAAGAGCAGTCGGAATGATGAAAGAAGGAACCAACAAAGAGAAAGCCAACGTCCAATGGCCATTGGGCAAAGATGCCCGATATAAATTCTGAAATGCAATTGACAGTTTAAAATAATATTAAATGTTCGGTTCAGCAACCATATTAACAAAGCCGAGTCTTTATCTTACTTCATGTAGTCTGTTACATGAATCCTTTTTCTTCATTGTATCCTCTTGTGAGTCAAATTCTCCATTGCAATGCCATCTCCAATCTATGGCTTCTAATTTTTCCTACTCTGGAAATATGCTAGTTGTCTTCCATGGTGGACGAAGGCCATATCAATTCCAAGAAACGCTGAAGTAATATTAGAAAGGCATTTGGGCACAAACAACTTGGCCATCAAAGATTTGGTGTCAAGAAGAAGATTACGACAACTGGAGATTTGAACAGACAGCAAAGATCATCAATGGGAGATATATGCAAAGAAGAAAATGGCGGCGGCAGTTGCAGACTGAGGCCACAATATTTTCAGCTGATCCCAAGATTTTAACTGATCAAACTGCAGGTAATGAAGAAACTGGTTGTAACAATGGAGCAGCTGAGTGAGATTCTGGCAATCAAGCGTCTTTGAGACCAAACTGATGATCATTGTCAGCATCCAAGCAGATGTCCTTGGAGAAGAATTTCTGCTTCCCCAATCTTAACTTTTTCCTAATGCATCTTTTCAAGTCCTCTCTCTTTCTCTGCAAATTTTTTACACCTGGAAGTGCTGGTTATTATTGTGATTGAAAAATAGGAGAAATAATGAACCATATTGAGAGAAAACAGTTGGTTTTGGTGTCAAGATTGCTAGAAAACAAATGTCACCCTCAAGATCAAAATTGGCTTTGATATTACTTTAAGCAAAAGGATATATAGAAATAAATTAGAAGCAATATATAAATTGTCAACGAGAAAAATAAACATATTTAGAATATATAATTATGTAAGATACTCTTTTAATGTTTTAAATATTTTTCATTGAGTTATACTCACTCCTGTTGTTTATATCTGTAAGTGAGTTTTCAGCAATGAATGAGAGGCAGAAATGAGGCGACTTTAAATTTATATCTGGAAAATATTTTTGCAAATCAACTGGGAAATTACTCTGAAAACTAGAACAAGATGCCCATCTGATTGGCTAAAAAATGTTGAAGCTTTAGAAACAAACAATGTACAGTGTCAACTTTCCAGAGAATGGAAATGACATTATTATAAGTTATTGGGATTCCAGAAATGGTGCACTACAAGAAATAATACCCCAAGCAGGTAAAGTCATTCTAGCTAATTTATCTGATATATCACAAGCCTATATTTTTGATCTCTTTCGGAATAAATTTTCAGTATTCGTTACAGATAAAAACATACCTCAACGTTCCACAATCTACATAGGCAAGCTATCTTCAATCTTATTCCACAATTCGACATTCCATGAGAATTTTCCCTTTACCATTTCCACAATCTCCCTTGCCTCCTTGACCTGTGAAGCTCCCACAAGCCCATCGACAAGCACCTTCATCGTAGAGAACCGTGGCACCCAGTTCCTTTCCATGCTCTCCCTGCAAATCGCAAGAGCCGAACTAAAATCCCCACCTTTACAAAGATAGTGCACCAAACTAAAATAGCAGCTGCTCTGCGGAACCAAACCTCTCCTCCCCATTTCTTCAAACAACCTCTTTGCCTCCTCCAGATTTCCTCTGCAACAATAACCTAACACCAAATGATCGTAAGTCACCCAATTCGGTTCCAGACGCCTAACTCTCATATCCCTCAACAACTCCTTGGCCTCATCCGGTCGCCCAAGCTTGCACAAGCTCTGAATCCTAATGTTATAAATCGACAACCCCGCATGCCGGCCATGTTTTTTCATCAGCCAAAGAACCTTCTTCACATCATCAAACCGTTCCTCGCGATAAAACCCAGAGAGAGAGATGCTGAATGTAGTCAGATTCGGCTTGATTCCTTTACGAACCATTTCGTCTAAATAGGAATAAAACGTTCTGGATCCTCCAGACTCGCAGAAGGCCTTGATGACGGTGTTGTAGGTGACAATATTAGGTTTAATACGGTAGGAAACAGGGAAGTCGCGGAAGAATTCACCAGCTTGGGGATGCTTATTGGAGAGGATGCAAGCGAAGAGGAGGGCATTGAGAGAGCGGAGAGAAGGGGACGAGCGGAAGGCGGAGAGGGCGTCGTCGAGGAGACCGGCGAGGCCAAAGAGGGAAATGGCATGAGGAAGATGGTGATCGGAGTGGAGTAGAGGCGCGAGGAGTGAGCGGAGGTGGTGGGGGGACGAAGAGAGGGAGGATACAGCGACCGAGAGGGCGGCGCGGCCGAGGTAGTGGGCGGGGGAGAGAGATGCGGTGCGGCAGATGTTAATGATGCTAGAGGGGTCGGTCTCGGATTTGAGGAGCGAGATAGCGGACAAGGCGCGCTGCTTGGGATCGCCGGCGGCGAGGCTGAGGACGGAAGGCGGAGACTTGGGAGAGGTGGAGGCGGAATTGAGAGGGAGGAGGTTGAGGGGTTCGAGTTGGGAGGGTGCGGTAGAGAGGCTGCGAACTTGGAGGTAGGAGATGATGCGGCGGTGGAGGAGACGTGGCCGCATGGCTGCGGGAGTTCAAGGAGCCATCAAATTTAGAAGCTGAGGCTGAGCAAAGACCTCCGCGGGACTCGGGTGAGGGTTTGCCGTTTGCGATATAAAAAGATCAGTTTTAGACAAATTATTGTGCGCGGAATCCGTGAGTCACAATAATTTCTCCCAAGAGAAGGGCGGGCCTGAAAATTTGTAATTTCTCCCGTTCAGGTAAAAGCAAAAATCGTATCAGACCAATTGCAGCAGACCCTCACGAAAGCAAGCAAGCAACAAACAGGAAGAGCTGACCCGGGGATGGGCGAATTATTAGGTCCGGTCACTGGACCTAAATTTGCGTCAAATAAAAAAATTTAGGTCTGATGACTGAACCTAATACATCAAAAGCTAATTAATACACAAACAGCTAATATATAATTAAAATTGTGTATTAATTGTCCTTTTACAAAAATACATCAAAAGCGCACGAATTCCGGACACAAATTTAGGTCTGATGACTGAACCTAATAATCCGCCCGAGGACCAGCAGGTTCCCAAATATTTCACCCAGAATACTTAATAATGAGTTCATGGCAACCAAGGCGGAATAATTGAAGATCACAAAAGATGCTCCAAGAGCATTCTGATTTTCTCCCATGTTAAGATCTAACTATTACAAATAAAAAAAAAATTAAAGCTTTTTAACTAATAATTTGAAGCAATGATTTTGCTCGCCTAAAAATTAACACCTACACAAGTGACTCATCGAGGCTTAAGGTGGTTGGTAGGAGAGCACGGTTGGGAACCCACCATTTTGGGTTTGAATCCCCTATACTACGACATCGCCTCTTTAGTGGGGCAAAGCAAGTGTTGGCCCAATACCGGTGGGTGGCCTCGCTAGATTCCATCGAGGGAATAGTTACGCCGCCAAGTGCTCCTTTTGGAATGACAATGGGTAGATACCCCGTTCAAATAAAAAAAAACACATAAACAAGGGTAAAAGGTTGCGAGAAAATTATAACATTGGATGAAATAATTTTTATTATTAACTATGTGTTGACATAATATTAAGATTTGTATGGGTAAAACATTTCATAATAACTTAATCAAAGAATGATTATGGAACGTATCAATAATAATTAATCAGAATCTTCTTTTTTTAAGTTATTTTATAAGTCAAAGATATCAATATTAGTTAAGTTTCCTATCAATGCAAATCTTCTATTATTTATTTTTTTATCATATTCATAAATTAATAATAACTAACTTTTGAGTACACTCGCATATAAGCAAATATATACCTACATAAATAACCAAGCATTCATAAATATGTCATTATATTTAATATTATTGTTATGTGTTAGAATATTCACGATCACACAAATAACATATTTAATGTTATAACACTGTACAATCCTCCTGCGTACACGCAAAGATAAAAATATAATTATAAAAGAGATTATGTGAAAAAATTATTGGGATCTAACCAAGTTGAAGTAGTTCTACTAGGATATATCATTAATTGAAAATGATCCTAACCCCTAAACTGAGGAGGAAGGAGTTGATACAATTTAGTAGAAATGCATTATTTGTAATGGATTTTGTGGTGAGAGTTGCAAGAGGCCACGGGTGGATCCATGTTTATGTAATTATTCTGTCCGGGCAAAGTACTGAGGGTACCGAATGGTACTGCGGTCGGTATCGAGCGCTCAGTAATGTGACACTTTTTTATTGGTCTCTGGACACATTCGGTGTCCGGAGGCAATTGCCCCCTTTGGAAAAAAAAATTAACATGGGGGAAAATTCGGAAGTTTTGACCCTCTGGAAAATTTTAATTTATCTCGTTGCCCTTGATTTGCCTCTCATTTACATTGCTACCCTAAGACTTATATAGGGTTTGCGAGTGAAAACAATCAATGGAGGAAAAGAAAAGGTAAGTTTTTTTTTTTTTTTGGAAAATTCTGGGCAGAGCCCTTTTCATTAAAATGAGGTAGTTACATGTAAATGAAAAATGTTGTAAAGAAAATTCTTTACCAAAAGAGCAAAGGACCAAAACCAGGCAAAAATACAAAAAATCCCATAAAAAAGATCTAAAGCAACAAGATTAACAAAAGGAAGATAAAGAGAAAACACAGCCAACATAACCTGAAGCAATGGGATCTAGGCAAAGAACCCACGGGCTCAGGAATTGCCGCTCTCTCTACCTGGTTGCAAAATAAACTGCCCAAAAATTCTGCCCTCTAAAGGAGAAAATGGCAATTCGTTCATCCTTGCCCAACATACCAACTATAAAAAAACTGTAGAAACAATCTCCAAAACTGCAGTAACAACCAGCCAAAGCTACCAACAATCAAACGAGCTGTAGCAGATCACAGCCCAAAAAAATAGAATAGAAAAACAGCTCAAAGCAGCTCCATTAGATTTTCCCTCGATTTCCATTTCATAATATTGCCAAAAACAGCAACTTTAATTTTATGTACTAAAGTGGTGGAAGAGACCAAGTTAGTACAAAACTTTCTTTCATTCATTTATCTCCATATATAATAAACTGCACATCATATAATCAGGAAGTAAAAATCCTTATCCTTTTTATACTTTTCATCTATAAACTCAAATATTTGTAAGATGGAGGGTCTTAATAGCAGGTTTCCCAAATTTTTCAAGAGAGCCTTGAGCACAGCAAAAGAATAGTCACACTCAAAGAATAAGTGACTAACCGTCTCGTAATCGGAATGACATAAAGAGCAATTCGAATTCACAGTCATTCCCCTAGATATCAAAATATCAACAGTTTTTAAACCACCAGATAGGGCCATCCAGCAAAAAGAGGAGAACCTAATGACATAACGCTTATGCCACACAAAATGCCATCAGTTAACCTTAATCAAGTCTTTGTAAAAAAATTCCCTATATGCACTTTGCTTACACTTCTTTCCAGTACCCCAAAAAAGATTGTTTTGTTTATCCAACTGCACAGGAAATTCAGAAAAAGCTCGGTGAACAACAATAGGTAAATAAGCAGGCAATACCCAGCCAGTATCATTAAGAATAGCCGTAATACTTTCACTCACAGGAAAAGAAGCAAGAATGGGCTGAACTTCCTCTATTTCATTTAGGCGCTTATCCCTAAACCAATGGTCCCAATAAAGGGCAAACTTAGAGTGCACGGATACTCTAAAATGAAAAATATCTTTGGCAGTACAAGCATCTTTACAAATACTTTTCCAGGACTTAGAAGCCTTAGTACAAAGATCCTTCCAAGGGGAGATATATGCATTAAATAACCAAATGGCAAGAGGGCTATGAGAATTGTAAATCCTGGTAATAAGAGAGAAATTGAACCCAAATTGAAGAGAATGTAAAGAGGGTAAGCCTATGCCCCCCATAGATTTAGGCTTACAAGTATTTCTCCAAGAGATTAAATGCATTTTCTTGCCATTAGAATCACAAAAATATAGAAATTTAGCACAAACCCTATATATTTTCTTAAGAATAGTTTTAGATATTATGCTCCCCCTTATCTAGTATGCGATCGTATTCCAAATAGTGTATCTTAAAAATTGGAGTCTTCCAGCAAACGATAAAGCCTTAGCCTTTCAGTCAGATAACTTCGTAATAACACCTTCCAAAAGCTGAGAGAAGCAAGCCAGCTTTGGGTTGAGGGGGGAAATGGGAACCCCCAGATAGATCATAGAAGATGAAGGAGCATTGATATTAAGCGTAGAACAAATTCCCTCAGCATTAGGATAGTTAGGGGGCAATATGATAGAGCTCTTTAGAAAACTCACATTGAGACCCGTGGCATAAGAGAAGCTATGTAGAATTTGGGTAAGAGTCTCACAGTTACAGATATTAGCTTTTCCAAAAAAGAATCAAATCATCTGCATACATTAGGTGGGAGAGCCTATAGTCTCCAATAGAAAGAGCTTCAAACCTGTTTTCAGTGAGATTACATTCTAGTAAACACGATAAGCCATCCATTACAATGCTAAAAATGTATGAACTCAACAGGCAGCCCTATCTAAGCCCAGTAGTCGAAGGGAAGAAACCTTCTAGGGTCCCATCAATACATAAGGAGAACCACACATCCATTATGCAAGCTTCAATCCACCTTACTAAAGTGTCAGGAAATCCTTTTTGCAGCATCCTAGCCAAAAGAAATTCCCTATATACACTATCAAAAGCTTTTTTGATGTCAAGCTTCACACACATAAGCTTGAATTTGGAGAATTTCCTTGAAAATTGAAGAATTTAATTCACAAGTAAAACATTATCAGTAAAAATCCTGTTAAGAATGAAACCAACTTGATTTTCTTTAATGATATGAGGCATAATAGGTTTCATCCTCACAGCCAAAACTTTAGCAATAATTTTGTAAATGATGTTACAAAGAGCAATGGGACGAAAATCAGCAATATCCTCAGCATGACTAGATTTATGTATGAGAGTAATTGCAGTAGCTTTAGCCGTGTGAGGAATGTAAGGATTATTGTAAAAATACTTTACAGCAAAGCAAACCGAAGGACCACATACCACCCAAGTGGACTTAAAGAATTCAAAGTTAAACCCATATGGCCCCAAGGTAGAATTAGAAGCTCCCGAAAATACAGTTTTTTTTATCTCCTTATCTGTGAAAGGAGAAGTAAGATAATCAATATAATCAGAGGGAATAATATTACCAGTGGGAAACAGGTTGATATTGAAATTCATATTCTGTTGTTTTTGAAATTTCTTTGTTGGGGGGGGGGGGGGGGGTATTAAAGAGCCTTTGAAAGTGATAAATAGATTCTTTGAAAGCATCAGGCAAAGAGGAATTTGAATTAGACATAGCCAAAGTGATAGCAGTTTTTTTGTAACTTCTCCTCATGCAGATCTTAGCATAAAGGAATTTGAGATCGTCCTCTAACTGAGCTAACCACTTAGATTTAGCTCTTTGATTAACCCAGGAAAATCACATAGAGGTGGTAGCTTCTAACTCCTGGTTAATTCTTTTAAGCTCTATAGAAGTTTGTAAGAAATCATCACCAGCCTACAAACGACCAAGACAACCAGCTTGCTTGTCTTGAATCTTCTTGATATTATCAGTCATAGAATTAGAGGTTGCCCAACATTTCCCTTTAACAGCTCCTTTCAATAATTTAAGTTTGGAACAAAAATCTACTAAAGGATTACCTTTATAGACTTAACAGCAAAAATCTCAAACAAAAGGAACCAGAAATATTCATTTTTGAGCCAATAATTTTTAAAGAGAAATCGATGATGAGTGGAAGAATTTACTCCATATTTGAGAATTATCGGGCAGTGATTTGAGCCATCAGGATTTTTTACCATATAGTAAGAATCAGGGAAAGAGGGGAACCAATGCTCATTTACTAGCATACGATCTAATTTGATGTGAATAGGACTATCAGTTATTTGATTAAACCAAGTGAAGGAAGGACCAATTGAGGCCAAAACATTCATATTTGATTCAAAAATGAAGCTATTAAAGTCATGAAGCTGATTTTGGAGAAGAACATTCCCTAACTTTTCAGAAGGGAACCTGCAACAATTAAAATCCCCCATTACAATCCAGGGAATACCAGCAGCCGGTGTAATATTTTTTAAATCCTCCCAGAGAATTCTTCTGCCCTCCTGCAGATTAGAGGCATAGATAACCAAGAGAAGAAAAGGGGTGCTAGAACCAAAAGATACCGTCCCAACAATCATTTGGGAGGAGTAAAAACTAGAATTAAAAGATAGTTTATCATGACTCCATTTAATCCAGATTCTGCCTGAGTTAGCACAATGAAAGTTGTTGCAACTAGATTCAACATCATAAACAAAGTGGCTATTGTAAAAGCCCCTATTCGAGAGGCTAGAAAGCTGAATTATGTTTTCCAGGACACAGATCATATCCAGATTAAGGGTTTTGACTAACATTTTGCAGTAGGTAACCTTATTAGAAGCAGAAAAGCCTCTAATATTCCAAGCAGCTATGGTTGGACAGATCATTTATGCTTAGAGGAGGAGGCGGTGGCTTTTTTGAACCCTTCCCTCTAGTGCTCTTGGGTTGGCGTGAAATTTTTTTCTTCTCTTTGATATTTGTTATAGGTTTTGAATAGGAGGAGATGTCTTTTTCTGAACCAGAGAAGGCTAAATCCTCATAACCCTGAAGGGACGAATACTTGTTGCTAGTCTGAATATTGGGAGGATTTAAGGATGGTATTATCAGATTTTTCATCTCTCCTATACCTTCATCAGTAGGAGAATTGAGATTAGGAATTTTTAAACTGGCAGAAGCAGAGGCTTCAGTGAAATCTAAGGTTTTATTATCAGCTATGTTGGAAGGGGGAACCTCATTCTGCAAGGAAGAGGTGGGGTTAGGTTGCTCAGCATTCACAACTGCAATATCAGCAGTTGGTGGGACTATAGGAGGGACTATAGAAGGAAAATCAACTTGTGAAGGAACCATGGAAAGCACATAGGTGGTAGCGGCTTGATTATTTGGGATGGGGTTGGAGGTTTTGGTAGCGGGTTTAAAAGCAGGTGTGTACTTCTGAGTATGAGTGCCTGGGCGTATTTGGGATTTCTTGCAAGGATTTCGTGAAGTACTACGTCCCCTAAATTGGGTTAGAGAATTTTGTTCAGTATGCTGAATTGAAGGGCATTGGGAAGAGGAGTGGGCTAGAGAGGCACAGGAGGAGCATTGTGTAGGCTTCCATTCATATTGGATCTGGAGATTGATAACCTCCCCTTCTATAGAGACAGCCACCGTATCCGGGAAAGGTGAGGTAGTACAAACTTGAATGCTAATCCTAGCATAATTTATCTAGTCTTAGCAGCTGTTAAGGCATCAACTGCAATCGGAATGCCTATTTTAGAGGCTATTTTGGAAATCCCTTCCGAGTTCCAATAGACTAAGGGAAGATTGTGCACCCTAACCCAAATCGGCACCGATGTAAAATTTTCCCTTGTAGGATGGAAGTTTTTGGTCCACTTCTGGAAAATAAATGGGTTGCCATGAAAAAACCAAGCTCCTTTGGACCACACCATATCAAAATCTTCTAGTAAAGAAAATTTGAAGAGAAAGAACCCATCGGTAAGAGCTATGAGTTAAAATGTACCTTTGAGCTTTCAATTACGCTTATCAGTTTCATTAAGAGCTTCATAGTAAGACCTCTTACCAATCAAATACCTGACAAGGCAGAGACTCCATTCTGCAGCAGCAACTTCGGTGAAGTCTTTATTAAACGGGATGATCTCCTCCGGAGTTTCTATGAGAGAAACAGGTATGTGGGGGGAGGAAGGAGTTGGCTCAGCTATAATATTAGACCAAAGACAATCTAACACACGACGAGGAGGAGATTTTGGGGTAGAAGAAGAGGTCAAAGAGTTTACCAAAGGGGGAAAAAGGCTGGGGTCCAGCTGATCCATGATGGCCACCGGCGGGAGGCCGGTGGCGGCCAGGAAAAAGGAGGGAAGACAAAGTCGCGGGAAGGAGAAAGCGGCTAGAGCACATCTTCCCTCTCGGACAAGTGATAAAAGCTTATCAAGAAAAGGTAAGTTATCGGAACAGTTAAAAATTTTTTTTTTTATTTTTGAGCCGAGCTTATGCTATATAAATATAATTTTTAATATTTAATTATCTTGTAATATATAAATAAACATAAAAATGTATAAAGTTGATGAAATAGATAAGAATTTAATGGCATTATCTCAATCCCCTAAAATCAAATAAATAATTTGATAAAATATCAAAATAAATTTTAAACTAAATAAAAATAAAAACAATCAATTTATTAAATTTTATTGAAATTCCGGATGAACCGGTTCGGCTTAAATCCGGTTTCATTTACAAAAATAAAACCCATTGCTATAAAACCTAGCTCGCCTCCCTGTGTTATTCTCTCCTTCAAGCGCTGCTCCAACTGATTTCAGGATTTTCAGCATTCACGCTCCAATTTATGTTTCCAGATCTGGTGCTGAATTTTGTCTTTGATAGTTTCGTAAGAATCGTAAGCCTTGTTTTGACTGTTATGTTTTCTTGCTATTTTCTATGTCGGATTGTTTTTTTCTCCTCTAGGGTTTGGAGTGAAAGTTCCTTAATTTTAGGAATTTCTCTTGGTGGATTATTTCTTGTAGTATCTGCGCGTGAAAAAAATAATAAATTTTGCTAGATTTGGTTGCATGGTTTAAGAATTACTCTGGATTCCTGTATTAGATCTCTCTAGGGATAAGATAGCTCGTCCTTTTGGCCTCTTCGGGATGGACACCGATATTTGGTCTTTGATGCTATTTTTTATGTGAATTATTTTGATTTTGTAAATTCTGTTGTTTTTCATGCCATTATGTTTCATAGGAACCGCTAACACGTTAAGCTTTTTTGGGAACTTAGCATGATACGGGCCTTAAGCTTACATGGTTATTAGGTTTGTTTTTTGGGTGAAAAATATCATTTTAATAATCAATTACATGCAAAATAACTTTTTTGTGTTTGATTCAGGGAAAAGTTGATAAATTTAAGTTACTTCATAATTTGTTTTCTTTACAAATTTGCTTGAAAGTGAACACAGTCAAAAGCTGGTGAGGTAATTGTACGTTCAGCTAGGCATTCTCAATGTCAAACAAAGCTCACATACTATGGCGTTCTCCTTGAGTTCTAGTTGTCTCTGCTGAATTATAACTTGTAATATTAACTGCATTTATGGTATTTTTGGTTAATTTCAATTATTTGGTTTTCTAGTATGGTGAAATAAATTGCCTTATTTTCCTTGTGTCATGGGTTCTCATTGCTTCTGTTTTCATCAGCATCAGGTTTTGATTAAATCATAGTGTGACCATGGCAACCTTCGCGAAGCCAGAGAATGCTTTGAAGCGGGCTGAGGGTGAGTGTTTTATTGCTGTTAAGTTATTCTTTTTTTTTTTGAATCATGTGGTGATATTTTAGCAGCTATCAAGCATTTCACTTTGTATGAAAGATTTTCAGCACCATAGTTTTGTACTAGATGCCTTTTGACTACTCATTTATAGTTCTTGACTTTATGCCCCTTTGGCATTTGACATAACCTTTTAATTTAGGATTTATTTTGTACTTAGATTTGTCATGTTGTACCCTAATGAGGGGATCGTATATCGATATTATCTTGTGCTGGATAAATAATAACAAATTTTCTATGTTTTGTATGATTCCAGAGTTGATTAATGTGGGTCAAAAGCAAGCTGCCTTACAAGCGCTCCATGATCTCATCACTTCAAAGCGTTACAGGGCTTGGCAAAAGACCCTTGAAAAAATTATGTTTAAATATGTTGAATTATGTGTTGATATGCGGAAAGGAAGATATGCAAAAGATGGTCTTATCCAATACCGCATTGTTTGTCAGCAAGTAAATGTTAGCTCACTGGAGGAGGTTATAAAATACTTTATGCATCTTGCGACTGAGAAAGCGGAGCAAGCTCGGAACGAAGCACAAGCTTTGGAAGATGCACTGGATGTAGAAGATTTGGAAGCAGATAAGAGACCTGAAGATTTGATGCTCAGTTACGTAAGTGGAGAGAAAGGTAAAGATAGATCTGACAGGGAGCTTGTGACCCCATGGTTTAAATTTTTGTGGGAGACCTACAGAACAGTGCTTGAAATTCTAAGGAACAATTCTAAGCTGGAAGCTTTGTATGCTGTAAGCTACTTGCCCTTGTAGTTTTTAATGATTGTAAAAGAAGTTTTTGTTAGGTTTTATGGTAATTTTTTTTTGCGTGTTAACTGTTAATCTAGCATGTATTGGAGCTTCTTGTTATAATCAGTAAAATTATTTTTGTAATTGATTTTATTAACATAATTTTACAATTTTACTTTATAACTACAATTCAATTGAATGAAGAAGGGATTACATGACACTGTCATCAGATTTTGCTTCCCTCAGTTGTAAGTCTTTTTGTATTGGTTTCAACTAACTTGCTATGCAACAACAACAACATCAAGCCTTTATCCCACTATGTGGGGTCAGCTAGGTCAGCTACATGAATTCTTTTTCTCCATTGTGTCCAGCTAAGAGTCAAATTCTCATTTAGATCTAATAAAGAATGGTCATTTCTAATATTTTCTATCCAAGTCTTTTTTGGTCTACCTCTACCTTTCTTAACATAGGTAGTAACTTACTATACTTACCATAAATTGTTTATTGTCGATATTTTTATACTTCCTACCTTATAAAAGTTAAAACTCTTTTCTTGATTAATTCCCTAATAAAATTAAGGTGATTGTGTAAATGGTGAAAATATTACATTTGGATTGGTTTTGTGAAGACTGCAAATCAAAACCTTTTCCTTTTAGTAATAAAGTGTTTTTCACACAAATATGGATGTTAAATTTGTTGAACGTTTATTTCAGTTTGTACTACTTTCTCATGTACATTTTTCCTGTTTGTTATGATCTTTTGTGGTTGCTGAGCAGCTTTGCAAATAATTTCCTTAGCGGATTAGAAAATTATTTTGGACTTTCACCAGTGTATCCATTATTATTACCTTGTTCTTGGAGATAGGAATGGCTGAGTGAATAGATGGAAAACTTGTATGCAAGTGTTTATTATATATGTTAAACTGAAAAAGCAAATACAATTTATATTGTATTTGTTGAATTGATTATCAATATGCAAACATGATCTAATCTCAATTTACCTTCAAGAAAATTGCTTAAAAGGAATAAATTTTGATGACATCACATTCATTTTTTACCCTCTAATGAAACTTTACTTGATGAATCTTGTTTGAAGTTGAAAGGTTAACAAAGGGTTTTTAATTGTGCTTCATTGTGAAATTTATAGATGACAGCACACCGAGCATTTCAGTTTTGCAAGCAATATAAGAGGACAACTGAATTTCGTAGATTATGCGAGATTATACGGAACCATCTAGCTAATTTAAACAAGTACCGTGATCAAAGGGACCGGCCTGATTTGACCGCACCTGAAAGTTTGCAAATTTACCTGGATACCAGAGTTGATCAGCTAAAAATAGCAACTGATCTGGAATTATGGCAGGTTTGCAATGTGGTGAATTTTGGATGCCTTTCTACCTTATGCGTTCTTGTTTCCATGTTCTGATTATTTATTCTTTTAATCGTATAGGAAGCCTTCCGTTCCGTGGAGGACATTCATGGCTTAATGAGCATGGTGAAAAAACATCCAAAACCTTCCTTGATGGTTATATACTATGCTAAGTTAACCGAAATATTCCGGGTCTCAGAGAGTCATCTTTACCATGCATATGCTTGGCTTAAGCTCTTTACCCTACAGAAAAGCTACAATAAGAACTTAACCCAAAAGGATTTGCAATTAATAGCATCCTCTGTTTTGCTGTCTGCATTGTCAGTGACCCCATATGATCATCATTGTGGTTCTTCCCATTTGGAAGTTGAAAATGAAAAAGAGCGCAACTTGAGGATGGCTAGTCTAATTGGTTTTAATATTGATCCCAGAAAAGATGCTAGAGAAGTGGTATGTTCTTTACTTCATTCTTTTCTGAACTTTATATTTTTGTTAATTTGTTTGCTTCTTCAACCCAAGCAGTTTTGCTATTGACATTTGGCTTATAATTTTCAGTTGTCACGGGAAGCACTCCTTTCAGAATTGGTACGTTTCTAAACTTATTATTATGTTAATGGTTCACAAGCCCGATTGGTTGTGGATGTAAATTGCCTTTTGGATTTGATTAGATCCGAAAGGGGTAAATAGTAGCAAAGTAATTACACTCAAAATTTTGTTTCATGTATTTGTAATTGGAGTTTTTTTTTTTTGGTTGCGGTTTTTTTATTTGAATCATTCTATTGCTCCAGTCTTCTAAGGGTGTGATGGCATGTGCATCCCAAGATGTGAAGGACCTTTATTGTCTCCTTGAAAATGAATTCCTGCCGCTTGATCTCGCTGCAAAAGTTCAGCCCCTTCTAACAAAAATTTCTAAACTCGGGGGAAAGCTTGTGTCAGTTTCTTCTGTCCCTGAGGTGCAACTGACTCAGTACATCCCTGCGTTGGAAAATCTTTGTGCTTTAAGAGTTTTACAGCAGGTGCTTAGCTCTCTTGATCCTTGTAAAAGTTTAACAATTAATAATCTGTTATGCTTCATGAATTGTGTTGGGCATATACTTGGCTACCTGCCTTACTATTTTTTTCAACTGTGCTGTTTTCTTGTATATACTTAACTATTTATTCAATTTATAGAAGTAATGTAAGACAATGCGGGCAGTCTTTTTATCAAATACATATTATGTTCAACAGTGAACATCCTTATTCTGCTACAGGTTTCAAAAGTATACCATTCAATGAAAATTGAGACACTTTCCAAGATGATCCCATTCATGGATTTCTCTGTGGTTGAAAAAATTTCCGTTGATGCTGTAAAGTATAAATTTGTTGCTATGGACATTAATCATCAGAAGGGTGCAGTTACATTTGGTAATGAGGTATGCAATTACTTTCTCCTTTATTATCCAGATTGTGAAGATTTATATTTATTCGCTGTTTAGCTTTATACTTGCTAAAGATTTGTGACAGTCAATGTGGTTCAATACTGCTTTGGTTAAGAGATTGAATAATTCCAAGTCTGTATGTAAGTTGTAGATGTTTTAGATTTTCATCTTAAAATCTTTAGTCTTTGTTTTTTCATGCCATTTTGACTTATCAATGAAGCCATGAGAAAGCATTAATGCATTTTCTTTTAGTATCTTTAATAATCATGGACTACCACAATTTAGACGGTTTTTTGAGCTTAGATATCTCAATATGTCAATGAAAAGCTTTCAATGTTTTGGTTTCAGTATACTTTGTTGGGTCTTGATTCGCTTTATATTTAATATGTTGCTATACTTGGATGAATCCTGAGATCTAATTCAGTGGTTCCGTTGTGCTTCAATTTTGTGTAGTTGTAGTTGGGCGGGAAAAGTTCTTATAACCATTTGATGAGGATATTGACTTGATATTACGTTTATAGTTTTTGGACCTCGTGACATGTTTATTTATAGTAATGATATCTAGTGTAAACTCATGCATGTTATATATATATATATATATATATTTCTAGAAATTGAGACAAGCTTCAGTTCTTTTTGGGGAGGGTGTCATCTTTTCACTTTGTGGACGAGGTGAGTTTTCGGGAAGGGGTACGGTTAGGCCGGTTAACTTTTGGAACTGGCCTCTGTTCCAGAGGAGAACAGGGTCCGCCTCAAAGGAGCCGCATGTCCCTCCCCTGCTAGGAGCAGGAATTAGGAAAGGTTTTAAGGGGGTTTATGAGGGAAATTTCAAAGGAGAGGTTGTTCAGAGATTTCCTTTATTATTGTATGCCTTAAGTAGAATGTTTTCCTAGGGATAGTGGTGCAGAAGCACACAGCAAACCTGCAAAAACTCAAGCAACCTAAGCTAAAAGGAGAATTTCAATGGAACAGTGAATGAACTGGTTTTCTATTTCTTCTATATTCTTCTCTGCCTTCACTATACTTCTTTTCCAGTATTTATATCTATTCCGGTTTCCGTCAATTACCGGATTCGTTTAGTAAAGGGAAAAAGCAACTAAAAGGGAAAAGGTAAAAACAGAAATAGACGAAATGGAACGTGTCACCTGCAGCCATGTGCACCGTTATTCTCAGATATGCTACTCCTGCGTATTGTCGGATGCGCTATTCTGATACAACATTAGGATACCACATCAGAACCCTCCTGCTCAGAAAATTCAGAGTCCACAAGAATTGTAGAATCATCAGGCGGATGATACGTTGCAATGTCAGCTACATTGAACGTAGAAGAAGTGTAAACATTGGCGGGTAGTTCCACGATATACGCATTGTCACTGATACGTTTTGTGATGGGTACCGGCCCGAGTTTACGAGGGCTAAGTTTGGAGTATGTACCAGCCGGGAAGCGCTCCTTTCGCATACGTACCATGACCAGATCATCGGGATTGAAAACTTTAACTCGCCTATGGGCATCGGCCGCCTGTTTATACGTGGCATTGGAGGTGATAAGTTTGTTCCGGACTTGTTGAATGACATCAGAGTATTGATCGATGAGAGACGTTGCTGTTTTGTCCGAGCACTTGGGCAAGACGGCGATGTCAAACAAATGGTTGGGTGCTTTGGTATACACAATAGCGAATGGGGACTTGCCCGTCGATCGGTTGCTCATTGAATTGTATGCAAATTCGGCTTGGCCTAAAAATTCTTCCCACTGTTTCGGATGGCTTTGCACTAGACATCACAGCATATTTCCCAGGGTACGATTAACGACCTCTGTTTGCCCGTCCGATTGAGGGTGGTATGCCGAACTAAGATTGATGGCTGTATGTAAACGTTTCCAGAGCTCGCGCCAAAAGTGACTGATGAATTTAACATCGCGGTCAGATGTTATGCTGCGAGGTAATCCGTGGAGATGCACAATTTCATGGAAGAATTGCCGAGCAACATTGACAGCGTCTAGTGTCTTTTTACAGGCTATGAAATGAGCCATTTTGGAGAGGCGGTCGACGACAACCATGAGAATCGGAGCCTCGCTTCGTTCTTGGAAGGCCTAAAATGAAGTCAATACTGATATCTTCCCAGATTGTTTCAGGGACCGGAAGAGGTGTGTATAGACCTGTGTTCTGCATAGTACCCTTATACTCTTGGCAGACGGAGCATCGTTCGACCAAACGTGCTACGTCGCGATGCAATTTTGGCCAAAAGAACTTTTCTTGTAGCTGCTGGAATGTTTTATCTCGGCCCAAATGAGCCGCCAAGCCTCCGCTGTGAGCTTCAAGAATGAGTTGATGGCGCCATGACGAACTGGGAATGCACAGAGCGTTACCCTTAAATAAGTAACCATGACGGAGAGTGTAGTCTCCGTGAGATTGACCCGAAGAACAGTCTTTCCAAATAATTGCAAAATTGGGGTCAGCAGCATAGAGATCTTTTAAACAATCTAAACCCGTAATTTCAGTTTGGAGCTGAGTGAGAAGAGCTGTGCGTCTGCTAAGTGCGTCGGCCACGCGATTTTGAGCTCCGGACTTATGTTTAAGAACAAAAGTAAACTTCTGAAGAAATAACACCCATCGGGCATGCATCCGATTCAGATTTTTCTGTGTATTGATGAATTGAAGAGCTCTATGGTCACTGCATAACACGAAGTCCGCGCGTGCAATAGATAATGCTCCCAATGTTTGAGAGCGCGTATGACGGCATATAACTCTTGTTCGTAAACAGTCCATCGTTGTCTTGATGGCGTGAGCTTCTCACTGAAATATTCGATGGGCTTATCAGCTTGGGATAGGACGGCGCCAACGCCTAGCATAGAAGCATCAGAGTCCACTTGAAATGGCAAGTCAAAATTAGGCAAGGCTAAGACGGGTGCGGATGACAGTGCTCCTTTGATCGATTCCTAGCTTCTCTGTTTCTCGTCATCCCAAGAGAAATGCTTGGCTTTGAGACAATCGGTTAATGGAGCCATGAGTATGCTGAACCCGCGAATGAAGCGACGATAAAAGTTCGCTAAGCCATGAAAGCTTCGGACATCGAACAGGGTTCGTGGTTGAGGCCAATCGACAATTGCCGTGACTTTCCTAGGGTCAGTAGTGATGCCATCCGCGGAGATAATAAACCCGAGGAAATAGACAGTGCTTGTAGCAATCTCACATTTGGCATTATTCAAAAATAACTGATGCTTCCTCAGAGCTTGGAAGATTGAATTAAGATGCTGTGTGTGCTCCTCCAAGGACTTACTATACACCAAAATGTCATCAAAGTAAACAACACAAAAGTTGTTAATGAAATCCTTAAGTACCTCATTCATGAGACACATGAAGGTAGCGGGAGCATTGCATAATCCAAAGGGCATCACACGTCATTCGTATAACCCCAGACTGGTTTTGAACGCCGTCTTCCATTCGTCGCCGGGACGAATACGTATCTGATGGTAGCCGCTGCGGAGATCAAGTTTGGAGAAATAACAAGAACCAGCGAGCTTGTCTAGTAAATCTTCCAGCCGAGGTACCGGGAAGCGGAATTTAGTTGTAATTTTGTTGATCGCCCTACTATCAATGCACATCCTCCACTGATTATTCTTCTTGGGGACAAGAAGAGCGGGGACGGCGCAGGGACTTAAACTGGGTTGGATAAGCTGCTTGCAGAGGAGTTCCTCGATCATTTCTTGCAGAATGTCATGTTCACGTGGACTCATTTTATAATGAGATAAGTTCGGGAGATTAGCGCCTGACACTAAGTCGATTTGATGCTGAATCGACCGTATTTGGGGAAGACCCGCAGGGAGTTCGTCCGGCATGATATCTGCAAATTGTGACAACAAATCTGTAATGACTTGGAGCTGCGGTGACACAGGCATAGTAGGCGGTGTTTCAGTCACTATGATTGCGAAGATTTCCTCCCTTTTTCGCTGGGTCAATAGCATGGCTCCTGTGACTAAATGAAACACAACTTTATCCTTGACTTTAGGCATAATGTCAGAGACACTGTTAGGCAACAAGCGGAGTTTCCGGCCCTTCCAGTCAAAGGCGTAAGTGTTCATACGACCGTCGTAGACAACGCCGGTGTCAAACTGCCATGGTCGGCCGAGTATAATGTGACAAACATCCATTTCTAGGACATCGCATAATACCTCGCACGTGTAGCTCTTGCCGACCGAGAACGTGATACGGCACATTTCAGTGACTAACACCTCCACGCCTTTCTTTACCCAGCTGATCTTGTAGGGATGGGGGTTGCACGTCGTTTTGAGTTGTAATGCTTGAACAAGGGCCTTGGAGACGATGTTCTCAGTGCAGCCATTATCAATGAGCAATTCACAGACCTTACCGTTAACAGTACAACGGGTCCGAAAGATTGCATTTCGCTGCGATACAGAGGGTTGTCGTGGAGCGAGTAGGAGGCGTTCCATAACGCACACTACTTGATCCCCTTCATCGGCTGCTAAGTCTTCGAATTCCGCTTCCAATTCAGCAGCGGACAAGTCTTCGGTTTCCTCTGTTTCTCCTTCTACCAGCTGAATCTGAGGTCTCGTGGGACACTCGTTGGACTTGTGACCTACTTGAAAACAACGAAAACATTTCAGTGTCGTTGGCCTGGCGTACGGGTTGTCTCGAGCCGGTAACTTTGGTTTTACAGAGGTCCTCGTATCTAGTGGTGTGGGGGCATTGTGACTAGGCGAGATCTGAGGACTCTGTTGCGGAGGTCTTTGGTCCTGTGGACGGAACCGGGGCTCCATGGGAGAATCTGCGGCTGCCCGTCGATAATTGGTGTTCCGTGGCTGTCGAGACAGTTGGACCTTAGCTCTAAGTGCGAAATTAATAGCCTGGGACAATGTCCATACAGAATTAAGCTCCAGCTTGTCCTGTATGATCTCCCGCAACCCGCTGGTATAGCGGGCGACGAGTTGGGATTCCGACTCCTGAAGATTGTTTCGCGCACTTAATCGATAAAACTCTTCAGTATACTCACTGACAGTTCTACTACCTTGAACACAATTTTGATAACGAACATATAGAAGCTGTTCGTAATCTGTGGGAAGGAAGTGTGCTCGCATCATTTGCTTCATCCGATTCCAGTTCCGTATGTTTCCCTTGCCGCTGCGGAAACGAATCTGCTAGACTTGCATCCACCATGCGCTTGCTCCCCCCTTGAGCCGGCACGCCACATATTTAACTTGTTTTTCGGGAGGGACATCCATATAATCAAAGAATGTTTCCACTGATCTCTCCCAATCCAAGTAATCTTCTATGTGTATCCTTCCCTCAAAAAAGGGAATATCGAGTTTGGCGCGAAATTCGGGTTGTGGCCTATGTCGGAAGTGACCTCTCATGGCGACACGCCGGTGTCCATATTCCTCTTCTTCGGAATCGGAATGCCTCTGTCTCTGAAAAGGTAAAAATAGAAACAGACGAAATGGAACGTGTCACCTGCAGCCATGTGCACCGTTATTCTCAGATATGCTACTCCTGCGTATTGTCGGATGCGCTATCCTGATACAGCATTAGGATACCACATCAGATAGTGTGGCGAGTATTTTTCTGAATTGAGTTGTTCTTCGCTGTTTTGGGCTCTAGCAGCATCTAGAGATTTGGGGAAGCCGGATCTTCCTCTCGTATTGAAGATTCATTGTATCTTGTGTGTTTTTTTTCATCTGTTATCAATACAATCATTCCTCGCCTTTGTTTCCACTTCATTCTTTGTATTTCTGGTTTTGTATTTCAGCTAGAACTGTTTCCTATCAGCTTCTGTCCTAAGTGTTTACTTAAAAAAAATGCAAGCTTTCGCTATGCTGAGATTTCAGAAGAGAAAGTATTTCCTTCGTAACCCCTGTAACCTGGCATTGCTCGGTTTTCTCTCTGCCTGTATTTGTGACTTAACTAGCAAAGTTACAGCTGAAAGGTTTGACAAGAGAACAAATGACCAGCAAACTAGGAGTTGACTTCGTGTGACTTTAGGATATTTTAGGTGACAACATCCATCATCCCTGGCCCTGGGGTTTGTAGTGCGAGCAGTATGAAGTGAAAGGTTAACCTCCTTGAGAACCTTAAAAGTAGTAATAAATATATTGCTTGATTTTAATGGAAAGTGAGCAACCATTGTGCCAAGTTTATCAGGTAGGTTGCATGTACTGATGCCATGAATTTTCTTTCAGGACATTGAATCTGAAGAGCTTTGCGATCACCTCATGGTGCTGACTGATTCTCTTAATAAAGCAAGGGGCCTCATTTATCCCCCATTGAATAAGCAATCAAGATTAGGTGAAAGCCTTTACGGTTTAGCAGATATAGTTGAGAAGGAGCATAAAAGGCTTCTTGCAAGAAAATCTATCATTGAGAAACGCAAGGAAGAACATGAACGGCAGATGCTTGAAAAGGTAAGCTGGATATTCTCCTGAATCTCTGATATGTAATACTTATGTGTAATCTTTAAATACCAGTTCATCGATTTTGTTTTTGTGCTCATCAAAGGAAAGGGAAGAAGAATCGAGAAGGCTAAAACAACAGAAAACAACTGAGGAGGCTGAGCAGAGGCGACTTGCTGCTGAATATACACGCAGAGAGGAGCAGAGAATTCGTAGAGAAATTGAGGAAAGAGAACTTCAAGAAGCTCAGGCATTGCTTCTGCAATCAGAGAAAGGACCTAAGAAGAAGGGTAAAAGGCCTGTGCTCGAGGGGGTAAGTTAAATTCTATGTTATCATGAAAACTCTTGTAAGATTGCTTGCTTTTTACTTAATCATACAACGTTAATTTTCTGGATGATTCTTTTGGTACACGGCATTTTATTTGAAAGTTAAGTATATAGGCTTGTTTGTTATTATCTATGATGCATAGACACGGACACAGGACACGTGAAATTTTGAAAATATAGGACACGGACACGGGTTAGACATGTATTATAGTTTTTTATATTTTAAAAATAGTGTAAAAAAATTAAATAAGTATAATTTTAAAAATAATTTGAAAATAATAATTCATTTAACTAGAATTTGTGTTTAAAATGATTAGTATTAGAATGTAGAGAGTCAGGCATTGATGTCGTTTATCAGTTACCGAGAGATGAGATGAAAATACCTTCACTGTCAAAGAGAAATAAAAATAAGAATATTCAATGAATAAGTGTTAAGTGCGGGCGCTGATTTGATGTTGTGGATAGGAAATAAAAAATTTAGTTTAAATCCCGGCATTCTGCCAAATACAAGAAATTATATTTTGAAAAAAAATTCATAAAATATTTAAGATACGTGTGTCGAACACGCGTGTCCAATATTATTTAATGTTTTTTTAATCAGACATGTTTTCGACACTGTCGTGTTGAATACGTGTCGGACACTGCACGCCTCTTTGAGGAGAAGTGTTGGTGCATCATAGGTTATTATCTGTTGGCCTACTTGGTTTGTCTTACCCTCTGCTTCTGTCCTTGTTGCGGAGCTTGGATTCCTGCCCACGTTTCATGCTGTTGTTTCCTTTTGTCTAGTGAAAAAAACTTAGGCTTTGTTTGGGACAGCTTTCTTACTACTTCTTAAAGCAGCTTTTCATTACAAAAATTAATTTTTTACTAGAAAGCTGCTTTAAGAAGCAGTAAGAAAGCCGTCCCAAATGAAGTCTTAGTGAATGGTGCATCCTTCATCACACTTGCTGGTCTATTATGGTATCAATTCTTGTAGCTGGTTTAGTTACATGCTTTTGCAGTTTTTTACCCCTTGATAAAAAACAGAGAGGTCCTTTACCATGTGCCAATGTCATTGCTCGTGTTTCTACAGAGAGGGCCTTTACCGGAGTAATCCCGGCATTTTCGATTTTACTTGAGATATCTATTACTTTTCAGTACTTTTTACACTTTCAGACTCCTTTACTTACAATTAAATGATTGATTTTTGCATTTATTATGAGTTATCATTTTCTTCCAGGAGAAGGTTACAAAACAGGCTCTTATTGAGATGGCTTTGAGTGAACAACTCAAGGAACGTCAAGAAATGGAGAAGAAACTGCAGAGGCTTGCAAAAACTATGGATTACATGGAAAGAGCAAAGAGGGAGGAGGAGGCTCCTCTTATTGAGCAGGCTTTTGATCAGCGTTTGGAGGAGGAAAAACAAATTCATGAACTCGAACAACTGGTTTGATTTTGAAATTTCAGTCCCGGAGCAAGATTTTCACTTAGTTTTTTTGTTTAGAACTTGCCTATTGAATCCGTCATTCTATTTTTGCAGAAAGAGATCGAGCTCAGTAGGCAGCATCACGCTGGAGATATCCAAGAAAAGAATAGGCTAGCTCGGATTTTAGACAACAAGGTTTTGTTCATGATGTCAAGCCTTCTCTTATATCAGCCTTTTAATTAATTCTTTTGTTTTTTTTTGCTTTTATGTTAAGAAAGGTAGATTAAAGAGTCGCCTTAGATGGTTTGGTCACATTAAACGGAGGCCTTCTGATGACTCGGTTAGGAAAGTTGAGATTTTAGATTTGCCTTATGTTAAGAAAGGCAGAGGTAGACCTAAAAAAATTAGTTATAAAATATTAGAAATGATCTTTCTTTATTAGATTTAAATAAGAATTTGACTTTTAACATGACACAATGACGAAAAGGATTCATGTGGCCGACCCCACGTAGTGGGACAAAGGCTTGTTATTGTTGTTGTTGTTTTATGAGAACTAGTTTACCTTACACTACCTATGCTGATCTTTCTATAACCAGAGAAGATCAATGTCATGAAAAGTCACATACATTGCTTGTTTTGCTTGAGTTCATTGGCTAGTCCGGAGCAAAATTTATAGATTATCCATGATAGCTGCTTTTAATTCTATTTATTTAAAATGTTTTTCGTTGTTTCAATAAGTATGTGAAAAAATTTGTTTTTTTGAGTATTTTGTTAAGGTGAAGTTATCAACTTCTATTCTTGTTAAAAGTTGACTCAATTGGATTTGGCTTCTTCGAATAATCCAGCAGGCCTTAGTTGTTGATTTCTTTCCTATACAGGTTATTTTCCAGAGAAGAATAGAAGGTCGTCGTGAGGCAGAATACACACGCCTGAAAGAAGAAAGAGAGTATCGTATCAACCAACAGAAAGCAATGAGAGAACGTGATATAGAGATGAAGCGGAAGCTTCTCTACTACATTAAAACCGAGGAAGAGAGGCTGAGCAAGATTCAAGCAGAGGAAGAAGCTCGAAAGCGTGAAGGTACAGTTTTAGATGCCAATTTATTCAGTATCAATTCTTTCCTTTTGCAAACAATTTCATGATTTCATATGATAGATTCGCTTGAAGAATATACTAAAATATTGTATGAAGGAATTGTGATTTTGTTGTAGATTTTTTACCTTGCTAGAACTTTTCTGAATCCTTTATTCCATACTTCAGAAGAAGAAAGACGGAAGAAGGAAGAAGCTGAGCGTAAGGCAAAACTTGATGAAATTGCAGAAAAGCAGAGGCAAAGAGAGGAGGAGTTGGAAGAGAAGGAGAGGTTGAGAAAGGAAGCCTTACGTGGAAGGAATTTAGATCCTTTGCCAAGGCCAGCTGACTCTGGTACTGGTCTGCGTTCTGTGGAGCCTCCTCCTGCTGCTGCTGCTGCAGCAGCTGCGGCGCCGCCATCTGCTGGTAAGTATGTCCCCCGGTTTCGCCGTGAGGGCGCAGCAGCTCCTCCGGCCGAACCTGATAAGCGGCACGGGCATGATGATCGTCCTGCACAGACTAGCGACAGATGGCGGAGTGATGATCGTGATCGTCGATCCTCATTCACTGGATCAAGATTACCTTCCTCGTCTACTTCTTGGTCGTCATCGAGGACACGGGGTTGATGCGTATTGCATGGTGAACTGCTGATCAAATCTGGGGCTAAACTTTATTTGCTGTGCTCTCAGTTTTACAGCTACTGCTGGATGGATCAGGCATGGTGCATTTTGCTGAAACACCAGAGAAAATTTTGAGAATTTCTGCTGCCCTTGATCCGTTTCCTGTGTAATTTTGTTTCATTTGATTTCTAAGAGTTATAAGGGCAACATTCTTGATTAGTTATCCTTGGAGTGTGGGAAATGGACAGAAGATTATAATTATTTTTGCGGTTTTATTGGGACTGGGCAAGTTTAATCTCAAATTCACATAGAACTTAACTGTGTTCTATGTGAATTTAAACGTTTTTAACGTTATGAATGTTGATTTTAGGAGTTATGAAGATGGACTATTTGTTATCAAATCACAATAGAATCTTCGTTCAGGCTCTCATCAACAAGTTTAGCTCACCTTACGATATGCCATTGTGATAATATATAGAGGATTTCCTAGTGATGGACTGCCATTTAGCCAGCATAAGCTATTATATAGAGGAGTTGTTAAAGGAATACGGCTTGACAATTTGTTTAAAGTATGCTCTGCAATCGAAGTTATTTTTCATTTTTTAATTTTATTGCTTGATGCAAGATGTCATATTCTTCATATTAATCATGTCCAAAAGGATGGTAAAGAGATTTAGGCTTTGTTTGGGAAGACTTTCTTATTGCTTTTTAAAGGAGTTTTTTAGAATAAAAATTTTAATTTTTGTATTAAAAAGTTGTTTTAAGAAGCAATAAAAAACCGATTGTGTTTGGATAAAAACATTTTAATATAAAAATCATATATATAAGAATAAAGATATTATAAAATATAATAATTATAAGATAATCAAATTTATGAGTTAAATAATGAGGTTATAAGAGAGCAAAAAAATTGAGAAAATTGATGTAATATCACATCAATTTTGGACAAATTTGAACAAAAAATTTATTTTCCCATAAAAATAATTCTGTTATGAAAACTATCTTTCTTGTTAAGACAATTCTTTAAAAATTATAAATAATAGATAAAGTTTCATATTATTTATATTGATTTTAAGGAGGAACATTTAAATAGTAAGAGAATTGATTTATTGTGCACTAAAAAATGTGCTAAAAATATATTTTCAAATAATATGGTTCATCTTATCGAGGCATTCAGTTAGACAATAAGTTGGTTGAAATTAAAGTTCTGATAGTCCTAAATTTAGGTTTCGTTTGAGACCGACTTTCATTTTACTTTTTAAAACAGCTTTCAAGTACAAAAATTTTAATTTTTTAATAAAAAAAAGCTGCTTTATGCTGATTTGCATGAGGCTATAAGGAATAGGCTATTCTTCTTTACTTCGCAACTAAGAAGTACAAAAATAAGTTGTGAATTTATACTCCAAAATTTTTGAATTGAGCATTAAGTCAGGCCAATGAAAAACAAGAAGCTCAACGTAGCAATAAGAAAAAAAAATGTATATAGTACAAGGCAAAACAATGATCACAAGGATGGATACCTTCTCATCAATTCAGACCTCGATGGTGCTAAATTTTCTGTCTGAGAACGTGGCGTAGCTGAGTCTTGTGGCTCTCCATCCTTGCTTCCAACAGCTTTGCTTTTAAGCTCTGCTTCTGCGAAGCTCGCGGCCACTCAATGCATCCCTTTATCCCACGGGCTAATTGAGGATTCACAGATTCCGGCGAACTCCACTGATCTATCCTCGGCGGCGACATTCTTCCATCAGAAAGCCTTCCATTTAACAATTCAACTGAGCTTTTCTTGAGGATTTCGCCATTATTCGGACATGAAGATCTCCACAGCCTAGTTATGGAGGATCCCTTCTTCAGAGAATAAACCTCACTAATCTCATTCTGTTCTTCACAATTGTCTCTGCTTTTTCGACCGTCCGTTCCACTCACAGATGCATTGTTTTCTTCACACCTTGCATTCACTGAAGGCTCGCTGCCTCCAGGAGAATTGCTCAATTCCTGTTCTTCATCAGGACTAAGAGTTTCCCAATCACTATCTTCTTCTGTATCTCCGTCGGAATATCTTCTTGTAGGTTTCTCTAAAAAGACATCAGTTGCGGGACTTACAGAATGTACGTTAGAGTCACGACTTGCAGGGCTATAGGCGTAACAAAGTTCAATGTCCCTCTCATTGGTTTCTTCTTTTGGCTGAAGTTCTTCAAAGACAGCAAATATGTCCTCAGAAACAGGTGGAGGTTGGTAGCTGAACTCCTTCATTTCTTCAACGTTGACCAAATCTATGGCTTCTTTGAGGAGCTTTGCTTGTCTAATATGTGATTTTTCCGGACTTTTATTAGTTTGGGTTCTTAAGAAAGCTTCTAGTTCAGCTTGCAAGTTGCTCAATTTTGAATACTTATCCTCAAGAGCCAGTTTTGCATCTAATAGTTTCATTTGAACCCTCTCCTCACGCCAGACCTCGGCCATTTGCAACATCTTTCTCTCCTCCTCCACTTCCTCTCGGATCTTCATGGAGTCCCTCTTCAAAGCTTCAACCTCAGCTTTGTCTTCTCCAATCTCCTTTGCTAGCTCTTCGCAAACCTCTTCCATGAGCTCCCTTCCTTTCATTTCCTTCTCATAGTCTTGCATGAGCCGCTTTGCAGACAACTTGGCCTCTGCAAGCTCATTCACCAACTTGGAGTTGACAATTTCACCCCGATGACGGTTTTTTCTCTCCCTGCTCAGATCACTCTTCATGGAATCTATTATAGCCCGAACCTTCTCATGCTCTCTACTGCGCCATGAAGCCTTCTCTTCTGCAAGCTTTCTCAAGAAACGATCCAGCTTTTTTTTTACTAATTGCCGCTCTGCCTCAAGTTCATAGATCCGAGATTGAGCCCCTTTAAGCTCTGCTTGAAGTGAAGAAATCATGGAAGCAGTTGAGACCTGTTGACCTTCAAGAAGCTTCAGCTGGTTAAAGATTTGGAAAACCTCCTCAGACGTCCTCGGGCACCCAGCATCCCACTTTGTAGCCCTCTCCATTGCATGATTAGGCAATACAGAAGAAGCAAGCTGAATAAAGCCATATCACATAAAATTGAATAAACAATTAATAAAAAAAAAAGAAATCAAATGGAGATAAAAAGCTAGAAAATATCAATGATGAACATGAAGTTCAGATTACTTTATGAGGAATAGAACTTGAAAGCCCATTATTTAGACTAAAATGCAGATTTGCATTGTTGTCATTGCAGGCATGTGGAGACTGTAAATTTCCACGAACATGCTGCGGAGAAAGAAATTTAACTGTCAGAAGAAAATCGTATCAATTACTAATCAAATGAATAATCATCACTGAGAAAGAAAGCATTCATTACTTTTATTCAGGCGAATATAATTAGTTATTTCCATAAAGAATAAATGGAGTTATTTGAGCTTTCATCGGGCAATGAATGAGACTAAATAAGTAAAAATTAGAAAAGACGAACGATTTAAAATTAATAAAAGGGAGATTTAGTATAATTCCCATCTATGCATTGATCAAGACATACCCAAATTGTGTAACTACCCAAAATATGAAACGTATTTTAAAATGAAATATTTGAATTTTTGTTTGAATTGGAGCGTTGCGGCGCTCATCTTGAGAGCATAACGGCATCAGAAATCATCGCTGCAGAGGTGAAGCCTCTATTTCTATAGTAAATCTTGATTCAACATGCAACGCTGCGGCTTTGGATCTGAGCTTTGCGACGCTAGGTTTGAGTGCTGCGGTGGCCACTAACAGCATTATATATATATATATATAGTTCTAATTATGTATGCCATCACCACTCACCCTCCCTCACTCTCTTTGCTTGGTCGGGAAGTAATTGAAGAGGGGAGATGAAGAGAAGGGAGAAATTCATTCGGGGTATTTACATGATATTACATTAAACTGATTGATAGATAGAACTAAAATCATATTAATATTGATATAACTTAACATAGCATACTGACATGACTAATTGAATGATAGTCCTCTTTATCAATTTTTCTTATAATTTGATAGATCTCTTTTGATTTTATTGATCATTTTTATTTTATTCTTTATTTTAGAAATTTTCTATTATGTACATTAGTTGATGATTGATATTAGTTAGAATAAGAGAAAGCATATTGAATTCTTTGTCTTGCATTGAAGTTAGTGGTATGTTTTGATTATTTGTTGAACTTTTATGCTCTTTATGCAGTTTTATATGATTTCAAGTAAAGATAAGGAGCCTACACCATGAGGCTAGATAGTGATGATTGATTTGGTTTTATTTAGGTTATCTAATTTATATATATTCTTTTATAGAAAGTGATGGCTATTATATACATTTTTGAATTTTGGTGCTTGTAGTAGAATGTAAATTTGACAGTAATCATATAATTATATTTTTCTACTATTTAGTTATTTATTTTAATGCAATTAATTAGCTCTAGGTGTTAAATTGATCTAGTTGTAAATAATTAATCATTGATTGTTAAAGAAAAGATAATAAAGAGAGAAAAAAAAGAAATTCTTCCACTTTAGATCATGGGGAGTGACAAATTGGCTACTGTTTTTCTTCTACATATGATACTTCATCATATTGATTTCATATATGTAAATGCTTGAACAATTTGACAAGCCCTCATGCATGCGAAAATGTTTTTTGAAGAATTTTACTCACTAGACGATCGTTTGCATGATCCTTGATCCTCTGCACGATCAAGTGTAAAGGTCTATATGACCAAATAAATAATGGCATAATATTCTTAGGATTGCCCTATATGATTGGACTTTCTTGCATTGTGTGGCAACCATTTTGCTACTCAATTTCATCATATGATTGTATACTCCATGAACTTTGTTATGCATATATATATATATATATATATATATATATATTTTGAAGGCGTTGTATCAAAGCAGACATTGGCTACTTATTAGACTTTTCTTCCTCATACTTTTTTCTCTTCCATATTCTAGAAACCTTATACACTGCTTTTAAATCCCTTGGATGGTTATCTTCCTTCTTGGTTTATTTGGAGAGGGAGTGATGGTGTTCAACAAACCTTTGGTGAGATTAATGGCTATAAGGATCTTTGGTTTAATGTTTAAAGAAGGATTATATAATTTATGGTGGACTTGTGAGGGGTTTAAAGGAGTGTGCTAAAAGGAATGCCAAGACTACTCCAGTTTGGACTAATTTGAAAGATCATTTATGGTGTGGGTTTTATATATGAGATAATTGGCTTGAAATGATGATGTAGGTTACATATCACGTGAACTTTCAATCTGGAGTTGATGGTGAATTTTAATGGAATTTAAGGGAATGTCGAGGTATAGGGAACAATACTAGGTTCTAATATTTGCTAGTTTAGCTGAGAGCTATATGAAAGAGTTCAAAATGATTTTTATGGGTTGGGTTATTGGTTTGTTGGTATTGGAGGATGCTTATGAAAAGTATGAAGTGGTGTGAAGTGTTTAGTGCAGGCGGTAGAGAGGAGTGATGAATAGCTTAAGGGACACAAATATAATTACTCATTCTTATTAAAAAAAAGAAACACACACTTGAGACCGCAAGCACCAAATAGATGGAGAACATTTCTCCAATAAAATAGCTTATTCAAAAATTAAAAATTACAATGTATATCAACCTATATTTATAAGCATTACAAGACTCTTGGGTAACTACTTTGAAAAGAAATAATGGAGTGAAAAAAAAAAGGAAAGAAAAAGAGGGTAGGTGGTCATTACTAAGGAGGAGTTCCAACCATTTATTTTCAATACTTTCATTCATTATCAACACCATGTCATGAGCTGCCATACAAGTCCTTAAAAAGAAAATAAAAATTATAAATCCCAGAAACATATAAACTTTAAAATACTATCTAAAACCAAAATATCAAAAATAATCCCGACCATTTATGATTAGACTTTATAATTGGGCACTTTCTTTAATTTTATTCTTGGGCTTCAGCCTTAACTCTTGTAATAGAGTTTTTTACTTGATTGTCTTCATCCATATGATGAGCCACATCAAGGAGAGAGGAAGAGATAGAGAGAGAGAGAGAGAGAGAATATGTAGGAAGTTAATTTGGGAGTTGAGTTCTTGGAGTTTTAGTTTGTGTCGAGGTAGAAAAATGATTCTATTGTAGGAAACAATGTTTTTATTCCTCACATGTATTTTCTTGTCACTTTCATGAAGCAATTGATGAAATATGATTTTGACAAATTTATCATGGATTTCACAAATAAAATTATGATATTACCATTGTTCATAAGTATTTTTATCTGATGTTTGTGAGAGATTGATATGTTACATGTCTTCCCACCATAATTGATCCATTTATTTGTTCTCAATCATGTGAAACCCTGATAGGATTGATCCATGTTACATGATCTACACATGCTTGTATACTCTATGATGTATCAGTGTATCACATACGATCCAACATGTTTCGCCTGTAATCCTAAATAATTCTCTGCATGGTTCAAACATTTAGCATATAAATGATCATATGACGGACACGAATATTACAGGCTCTATGTGATGCATGAATGATTCCTACATACATCCATAATTATGACATCTTGATGTTACGTGATTTCATATGATATGTATGAGATTATGAAAATGATAGCAATGCTATATGAATGGTTATAGAAAGAAGACCCACAGATTGACTTATACAAAAGTCGCACAATAAAAGGGCGAGTTGATTGCCTTAATAATAAATTGAATATGGCAGATTTTGTCATTGATAGTTTGATACTGATCTGGAATATGAGGATGGAAAAGTACCATGCATTTAGCATGGGTGCTGCATGCCATTAACTAATGGGTATGCTAATATTTAGGTACTACACTGATTGACAAGCACACCGATGAGCAACAAGTTGACAAAACTTGGTATTAAGGAAGTTAATTGGGTGATTGCATTTACAATACTGATATTATTCCTAACAATGGGTGATTGCTCATCTATTGATTGCTTTGGAATGCTAAGTCAATTATTTATTTACGTTAAATATGGAATGATAAGATTGACTATGATACTAATGTGGTATGTTTCTTTACATAGCTACAATTGATTCCAAGTGATATAACATGTTTATGTTCTATGTGCATGCTTGCAATTGACGATGCATAGTAATATTAATTGACATACATGTTACATGATTTATTGGATATCTAGACCTAGCAAGTTGTACTGATATCATTGCTAGCATGCATATCATTTCTTTTGTGTATTGAATTATGGTACATTTCCATCGACCCACTTGACTAATTGCCCACAATATGTATGCTTGCATGTGTCCTCACTTTTAAGGAAGGGTAATAACCCTAAGAAGTAGAAGTTGAATCTAAAAATTATTGGATAATATGTTGATGTATATGCTTCGTTTTGTAATCATAATTTGTCGCATATGTTATGATGATGTACATGAAAAATGGTCATGATTATTCTATAATTCTTTTTGGATTGTAAATAGAGCAATTGACACAAATGAAAAGATTGTTTCTTTTATTTGTTGTATGCTAATCAATAATGTTTTAGTTGGATCTGTGTGCATGTGAATAGAAATATGATCTTATCCCATTGATTTTGGTTTTCAGGTAAACTATGTTATGAAATATATGAACAACATATGTATTGCATAACTAAATAATATTCTCCACATCTACTGCATCCTGGATAATTGTGATTCAGTACAATATAGCAATTACATTGGATTGGGGTGATATGTAATTTTAGTGGTTATAATATTGATACAAAGGAGATGGATTTAAGCATACTGGATTCAATGTTTAAAATTGCGTATTCGGGTATTGAGGCGTTTTTCATTAGTGAGGCGAGGCGTAAGCCTCAAGGCGTTTTGAGGCGTAAGCCTCAAAATCAATAGATTGCGTAAACATAAAATTATAAATTTATTATATACTAATGAGTAAATATTATAAAACATAAAAAAACATAAGATATGAAGTGAAATCAAAATATTTCAATAATAAGACAACATAAAATATAGTTCAACTCAAAATTCTATCTTTCAGAAATCCCAATATTCTTTTCATTAACATATAATTCCGATTTCAAAAAATAAATAGCAATGACATATCACATAATAACTCATAAGCCATCAGCACTGTCATCACTAAGGGGTTCTTCATTTGAATCATCATTATGGTGAACTGCTCTCTCCCCTTCCTCCTCTCCTATAAAGTCTAATGTCGGGCATTTACTTCAAGATTTATCTAAATTTTAATATATATCGTGTGAGGTGTAAGCCTCATGCCAGTGAGGCGAGGCGGGCCTCAACCAAGTTGAGGCGCAAGCCTTATAAAAAAACTCGAGGCGTAAGCATCGAGGCGTTTTTTACTGGAATTGCGCAAAGGCGGGCCTCAAGGCGAGCCTCATATTGCGCAATTTTAAACCATGACTGGATTTATAATCTATTGCATAGATTATTGTGGATATATTTTCTAGAATTAAAACTGGATGACTAAAATGGAGATGCCCTGGGAATATTAGGTGATAAGAAGATACTATTGAGACTAGGAGTGCATTTGTGATAGCTTTTTCATAACTTTACTTTATAGACCATCATTATGCTTTGTTTGACTTTAGATTTGTAGCCATCCCAAATAAAAATAAACTTTATAAAATTACAATCAAGTAGGGAAATGTTGTATAAATTTGAGTATTGGACAATACAAAATTAGTTGATACTTAAGCTTAAAATGAAAAAAAAAAAGAGAATGTGAAAAAATTTCAATTGATAAATCATTAATGATTAAGTTAGAAGAATAGTTTGAACAAAATACATTGAAGATTAAGAAAATTGAAAATAGAGTTATTGCGGATTAGAATATACGCGGCGATAGAGTTAGAAAGTTCACGTCTCAACGTTGTACGGATATCCAGCACACAAGCAGAAGATGAAAGAACACTAGGATTTTTATGTGGAAAACCTTGCGCCCAGTTGAAAAAGTTTCACTAGTGTTTGTTTGAAATACAAGAAGCTGACTCGTCCTTAAAATTTAGGACGATCAGATTACAATAAATCTCTTCAGGATTGAAAATCAGTTACAACGTCAAACAGAGTTCCGACGTCACTCGAAGATTGGGCTGAATTTTGGCGTCCTTCAGAGGTTGGGTAGAATTCCGACATCGTTCGAAAATTGGGTGGAATTCCGGCGTCGAGTAGAATTCTAGCGTCACTTGAGCGTCTGACAGAATTCCAGCGACGTTCGGAAGTTAGGCAGAATTCCGGCGTCGGGCAGAACTCTGACGGTGGTCGATGAGGAGTTATTCCCTCCTATCCTTCTCTTCTCCTTCTCTTCTTCTTCTTGCTTGGGTCCCCTCTCATGAGAAATGAAGGGTCTATTTATAGATATTATGGAGTGACATAGCTTGTAAATAGGTGTGAGATCAGGGGTAAATAGGGAGTGGTCGAATGGACAGACGATATTGAATCCCTTTATCGTGCACCATTCGTCAGACATTTGAAGGTCTTAATGATGTCAGAATTCCGCGATCTTGGGCTCGTTGGATTCGTCTCGCCGAGCCGCTCGATTAGACTATAAGAACGTTATATTTGGAAACCGTTTGGTAACTCAAATTATGGTTTGAACTTTCCAACAACACTTCAGGTGCTTGATTTGGACTCATTTGGGCTCGGATTGAGTCGAATTTGGTGTCGTTGAGTTCGTATTTCCGAGATGCTCAGTTTGGTTGTAAGTTAGCTGAAATCGGATCTCAGGTGATCCCAGATTTGATTTTTGAAGTTTCCGGCTCAATTTGCCTCAAGATCCGTGCCCGATCAAGATAGTTTTTTGAGGATATATCAAGAGTTAGGTGGCCTATACATGTAAAATTAAGGGTATAAAATGCTTTAACCAAATGAGTAGATAAAATTTATGCTAAAAAGATTAATTAGAAAAATGAGTAGACCTACAGTCCGAGGTTTGCGGGATATCCGGAATTTTGGGCAGCAGCTCGATGGATACAAGGTATGCAGATTTTTGATCTTTTGGTCTTTACATAGAGGTCAACATCAAGATGATTTGTGAAGAAAAAGAATTAACATATTAGACAATATTTAATAAGAAAAGAATTTAAAAAAAAAAGAGGGTCTATTAAGCCGACCCCAAATAATTGGGATGAAGCTAACGATGATGATCTAACAAAGAATAGGGCAAAGAAGAATAATTAAATCCATAAAGCAACACCAAATAGTTGGGATTAGGGTAATGATGGTGATATCTAAAGAAGAGTGGGACAGTTACTGTGCGAAAGAAATAATTTAACTCGATGGGAAATCTTAGATCTCATTGTGGGCATAAACCTAGTTTGCTCGGGGCAGAGAAAACTTGCAGCCCGCCCCATAAGAGAAGAAAGGTGCAGCGGGCGATCATTGGTATTGGTGACTCTGAGCTTCTTCCTCTTAGTCCGAATTCTGATTTCAATGCTCCGCACCTTGCCTTTCAAAGAATCCCAGGTTTGAACCAGATTGATGAATAAGAACTTTCTGACATGAGATTTGGTCATGATTTAACAAATGGATGTACTGTAAATGGAAGGAGCACAAAATGCTCGTTGATTTCAGAAGATAGGTACTCGCTTGATACATCCTTCATAACTTAAAATACTTGTCAGGGAACAATTATTAGACAAATGTTAACACGGTTGGGTTAAATGATATCTCAGTTTAATCAATGAGGTTAAAAATACAGACATATTCCAGTAACAAACTACGCATCATGGTTAAAAATTCCCAGCAAAGCAAACTAGATGAAAGTTGGATTGCTTCCTTGTTCAATCCATCAACAAAAGGCTACTTCGTTCCCTGATTGCGAAATAAAGAAAGGGGGAATATTGGGGGATTTAAAAAAAAAAAAATTTCGAAGAGAAAATATGACAAAAATTTCAACATTTTCACCGCCATTTCAAACAAGAATCCAGATCCATACAAAGCCCTAAAGACTAAAGGCTATAAAATTTAAAGTTAAGGTGGAATGTCTCAGTGGTCCTACCTCAAAACCTAGTAAAGTACCACTCGCCTCCCTTCCACTACCTCTGCTCAAGGTAACCTCCTTGAGCTGCAAATGCCAGATCCCAGCAGCTAGTTTCCTCGCCGAAACGGCTTCCTTTTCCCTTCCGCGAGCACTCCTGGCCTTCCGAGGCGTGTTACCTCCGGCTTCAGACAGGGGCCTACAGGAACAATCCTCCTCTTCGAACTTCCATCGCAAAAGAGGCGTCCCTGGGCCACTCCTTCCACTTGCCAAAGGGCCATCCGTCCTCCGGCCGGCGCTGGAACGGGGAAAGCTATGCTTCCTAATCCGCCTGCGGGGCTGAAGCGGTCTGGCCGGGTGGAGATGCGAGTCCGGTCGGCGAGCTACGAATTTAGCAGATACGTTTAACGGAGACTTCACCTGCGGATGGATCACAGTAGCCGGTCCCGGCATCGTCTAAGATTTCCCGCGAACTCTACCCGGCATTGAGAGAGAGAGAGAGAGAGAAAAAATTATTGAAGAATTTCATGTATATTTTAGAATCTTAATTATTTATAAAAATAATTGTTTTTATTTCTATTTATTAGGTTTTATAAAAAGTTTATATAGGATGAGAAGACTAAGAAGATAAATTCTTATACATATTATTGCAACATTAATTATTATTAATTAATGCTATTTATATTAAATTTATATAACAATTACATAAAACAAACGCTTTGAGATGAAGTTAAACTAACTAACCTTATAGGGCCAAGGCTTCACAAATATCAACTAAGGCTTCATTTGTGATAGCTTTCTTACTGTTCGGTACTGAACTTCGGGCAGAACTAAGGGCGTAGCTTCCCCTCTAGTTTCTTAAAGAAGCTTTTTAGTATAAAAAAATTAATTTTTATATTAAAAAATTATTTTAAGAAGAAATAAAAAAAATATCCCAAACGAGCCTAAGTCTAAATGCTCAAAATACTTGCTGCTAATGATGAAGTAAAAATATTTTTTCAGGATGAGATTAAACTACTATCTCCTTCAAAGCCAAAGAGATCCACAAATATAAATCAAGGCAAAATGCCCTAAAATGCCTACAATTTTTTACTATCCTAGTCGAGATCAAACTAGCACTCCAATCAAATTCCTTATTTCTAATTCAAAGATTCCTTATTGAAGAGGATTCTAGCTCATTGATCTAATAAACTCTCAAGACACACATCCAATGAGTCATCACCCAAATATTTTTAACTTCAATCTTTGATAAATTAGTAGGTTCTTACTACACAAGGGAGCATTTTAGCCAATAGATATTATATAATAAAACTATAAATATCCCAATTTTTGTTTAATAGTATATCCCAATAGGGGATGATCATATGTTCAATTTATCTCTTTCAACTTGGGTTCCATGAGGCGGACCTTGGAAAATTTTGAAATACGAAGGAGGAATTCATAGTTCTTCCAGACGTAGAGCTTGCAGGACTTTGAAACCAAATACATTACCAACAATGAAAGTAAACATGTTAGTAATAATGTTTTTAGTTAGTAGCCTACCTACATCACCTTATAGATTTCCATAACATAGGGGGTGTTTTAGCCAATAATAAATGCTCAAAGAACTCATAGTGTTCATGATACGAAGACATTAGTTAGGCTCCAAGTCACTACTATCCAAAGTCTGACTAGTAGGGTAGAGACTACTAGTATAACACAAGATTAAAGGATATCTCTGAATAGAAATATAAATGCTAATCAAATTTGGCATCACGAGTAAGAATACTATATCAATTAGATTGCAAAAATAGTCCCAATGAGAGTAATACAAAGGTTTTCTTAATTGGGCGGCGACCCTATGAGACTATGAGCTATAAAAAATATTGTTCATACTATTTTTGAGATGATAATTTGAAGTGTTAGATAATAAAAATATAAAAAGCATTGTGTAAAATTTTACTTTTTAAGAGCTACTATTAACCTAAATGTATGCACATATAATTTTTTATATAATAATTAGATGTTCAATTATTTCAAATGATAATAATTTTTTTGTGTATAATATTTTATATTACATTAATTAAATAATAATTTCTTAATTAATATAATAAGAATTTAAATAAAAATGATTTTTCAATAAACATTTAAAATTTTCAACAATAATACTTTTTTTTTAACTTTAAACAACCAAATGGTGGGAAATGAAGCATTATTCTTTATCACGGATTACTTTTTAAATCTGGCGGTGAGGAAAGGACGAAGACAGGGCGCAGTATTAGATTTGGAATCCAGTGGGGATATTTTCGGAATTTGCTTAAATGGGCCCTTTCCTAATCACGTGCCATGGGTGCCCAACTGAATGTTAGCTGTTTTTCAGAAACAGGAAACAGGATTATAAGCCAATGAATATTAAGGCCTGCTTGTTTGTGTGCGTATGCATCTTCCAAGCCGGGAATCGCTGGGGAGGTATCCGAGGTGGTGCACGAGGGATATGGGAGCCCGGAATTTTTTAGTGCCACGTCGGCACCGCCAATGCAGATAGTAGGCGGGGCCCGCTTCATTAAAAGAGTTGTTTAATACATAGTGAATTGAATGTGAAACAGTGAAAGGCAAATAATATAAAAAAAAATTTGTGAAGATTTCTAATTTGTTAGTTTGTGCTGAGATTAATTTAAGCCTAATTCCCGAAGCTCTTAGCTGATATAAGCTTAGTTTGGGACAGTTTTTTTTTATTATTTTATAAAATAACTTTTTAGTATACTAACAAATTTTGAATTATAAAATTCATCAAAAAAATTATCTTTATCGGGCACGAATCTCAATGCAAAATCAAGTTAGAAACTTCCAAAATTAAAATTGGGACCTTCCGAACTCTGATTTCAGTAAACTTATAGTCAAACATAATGTCTCGGAAATACGAACCCAACAACACCAAATTCGACTCAATCTGAGCCCAAATGAGTCTAAATCAAGGACCCAAAACACTGTTGGAAGCTTCAAACCACAATTTGGATTTTCAAACGGTTTCCAAACATAACGTGCTGATAATCGAATCGAGCGGCTCGACGAGACAAATCCAACGAGCCCAATATCGCCGAATTCTAACATCACTAAGACCTTCAAATGTCCGATGAACGGTCCACGATTAAGGGATTCAATATCAGTCGTCCATCCAACCGCTCCCCATTAACCCTGCATCTTTTACCTATTTACGGGTCATGCCACTTCATAAATATATAAATAGACCCCTCATTTCTCTTGAAGTGGGCTCCAAGCAAGAAGAGAAGAAGAGAAGAGAAGGAAGAAGCTTCTCCTCGACCACCGCTTGAGTTCCGCCGGACTACCACATGACGTCGTTGCTCCGCCGGACCACCTCCTGACGTCGTTGCTCCGCCGGACCACCACTTGAGGCCCTCACCTCTGCCGCATAACCACTGGAGGCCCTCACCTCCACCGGACTACCGCCTGACGTCGTTGCTCCGCTGCACCACCACTTGAGGCCCTTCACCTTCGTCGGACCACCACTGGAGGCCCTCACCTCCGCCTAACCACCGCATGACGTCGTTGCTCCGTTGGACCACCACTTGAGGCCCTGAGCTCCGTCGGACCACCACTTGAAGCACTGAGCTATGTCGAACCACCACTTGAGGTCCGGACTTCTGCCGGACCACCACCTGAGGCCCGGACTTCTGCCGAACCACTACTTGAGGCCCAGACTTCTCCCAGACCAACACATGAGGCCCGAACTTATGTCGGACCACCACTTGACGCCCAGACTTCCGTCGGACTACCACCTGAGGCCCAGACTTCCGCCGGACCACCACCTGAGGCCTGGACTTCCACCGGACCACCACATGATGCTCGAACTTCTACCGGACCACCACTTGAGGCCTGAACTTCTGCCGAACCACCACCCGAGGCCCAAACTTCTGTCAGGCCACCACATGATGCCCAGAGTTCTACTAGAGTACTGACCTACTACAACGACCTTTCAGACCCCTATCTCCTGTCGACTATGATTCTTCTGACCTCTGTCCCCTTTTATGGTTCTTCCGACCTCCATCACCAGACAACGATCTTTTTGACCTCTATCTCCTATCGTTTACGGTCCTTTTGACCTCCATCGTCTACTATGATCCTTCCGACCTCCATCACCAGACAACGGTCTTTCTGACCCATGTCTCATGTCGACTACGGTCTTTCCGACCTCCGTCGCCTACTATGGTCCTTCTGATCTCCATCACCAGACAATGATCTTTTTGACCCCGATCTCCTACAAACTACAGTCTTTTGGACCTCTCTCTCTCCTGCTGACTACAGTCCTTCCGACCTCAATCACCTACTATGATCCTTCAGACCTCCATTACCAGATAACAGTCTTTTTGACCTCTATCCTATCAACTATGATCATGCCGACCAAACAAACATATATTTATTGTAACTCCCACCATGTAATGCGCTCTATATGATGTATACTTGTACCATTAAGCTAAGGTCTTCTCTAAAGGAAGGGCCTCATTTGTAATCGACTGCAAATACTAGTTGATTCATTCAAACTAGGCTATGCCTCGTAGTTTTTTTCCCTTTTTAGGGGTTTTCATGTAAAAACTCTGATGTCTCTTATGAACGCTACACTCTCTCTCTTATCTGATTGTGTGCTAGATCTTCTTACAATGTTAAGATGTTAAACTATATATTTATCTACCACCACGAATACTCTAGGACACAACAAAATTATTTTTGAAAGCATTAAAAAAAGCTTTTCGAAATGAAGCAAGAATTTATGCCAAAATATTTCTACAGTTATAATAATGCAATAATAATTGTAATGTTTAATTTTTTGATTAATTTTAATCAAATTAAGAAATTGATTTAAAAATTATATTATTGTGTCCTGAAACATTCGCGGCAGTAGAAAGATAAAGAGTTTAGTCACACATAGATAAGAGAGAATAGGGTGTGAAAGTAATAAGACAAACATTTTTATGAGGAAAACCTTGAAATGGAAAAAAAAAAACCACGAGGGTTGGACTAGTTAAAAATGATTCCAATAGTATTTGTAGTTGATTACAAATGATGCCCTTTCTCGAGGGAGGGTCTTGACTCAATGTATCAAGTATACATCATATAGATTGTATTACAATATTACATGGTGAGAGTGGAAAAAAATCCAATGATGTGAGAATTATTTTCAAGAGAATGTTGGCTTGTCCTAGGACCATAATCGGCAGACGATAGCAGTTGGAGGGACCATAGTTGACAGACGACAGAGGTCGTAGGGACCATAGTTGGGGGTGATAGAGGTCAAAGAGACCATAGTTGGTGGGCGATGGAGGTCGGAAGGACTATAGTTGTGCGATTGTGATCGAAAATATTATAGTTGGGTGACAATAGTAAAAAAGATTATAGTTGAGTGATGGTGGTCGAAGAGACTGTAATCGGACGACGGTGGTCGTAGGGGCTGTAGTCGGGCGACGGTGGTCGGAGGGACTGTAGTAGGGAGACTGTGGTTAGGCGACTGTGGT